AGTTCGCATCTCACCTCAACCTTCAATTCTCTCTTTAATACTTGCACCTGGCATATGTACACCCAATACTGAGAGAGATCAAACCTCAGAATGGACTCCGAGCCGTCCATCGTCGCCAAACTAGACGCCCTCGTGGCGGAGCTACTGGCCGATTGGAACATAACCTCGACTGTGATTGCAGGTGGTATTGTTGCCTTCCTCATCTATTCATTCGTCACATCGCAAGATTCAGATATACATCCCTTCCTCCTCGCCCGGCAATCGAGCGCATTCCCCGTCCGGCACCCAGGCCAATCTGCTCCGTATAGAAGTCTCGAGACCCCGCATGGCTTTCCTCTGCGCACGGGACTGAACGTCAAGGACCCCGGGGCTCCCAAATGGACCAGTGGCCGGAAAGGTGACTTGCGTGATGTCTGGAAGACTGCTGTCCGCGGGTCGGTGGAGGAGAACGGAGCTGTGACCGGCAAGCAGGGCAAGATCTATACCGTGCTGGGAAAGAAGGCGATTGAACACTCCTTGGATCAAGTCACTCAGGAAATTAATGTCATCGGGACCCGCCTACGGGATTCCAAGGTAAAGACCGTGGCAGTCTGTTTGACGGATTCGATTGAGCTCCTGGCTGCTATCTTCGGTTTGGCCTCCGCTTTCCCGACCCTGCCATGGATGTATCGCTGACAGCGCTGTAGCTGGAGCCTTCTATGACTTCAAAGTTGTCATCATTCCCCACAATTTGAAAGCGGAGATTTTGTCGGAGTTGCTGCAGAAGTCGCAAGCGGATGCCTTGATCGCCGAAGCTGGATCTCTCGACTTGTCATTCGTTGCCAAGGATAACAAACAACTGTCGCAAGTGATTTGGGTCGCCAAGCTCGGAAGCCGACACATGGACTGGAATGATGTGCCCCAGGACGTGAAGGGGACGTTGGAAGTCACTGTTTGGCATGAGCTGGTGGAAGAGAAGAAAGAGCTGGCCTGGCTTGAAGTACCTGACTATGATCCAAGCACACCGACTCCTTCTGTGACCACTGTCTGGCCGTCCAAGTCCTCTCAAGGCGACTTCATTGAGTACCAGCCGGAGGTAAGATCCTCTCGCATCTGTCAATAGTCACTGTCTGGTGGCTAACTACAAGGGGTAGAACTTGGCCTCAGGAATCGCCGGCTTGTTATACTCTCTCCCCCGTCAACAGCGTTTCGGCCCCAACGACGTGGTTCTCTCCATCGACTCCTTTTCTCGATCGTACCCCCTGTGCCAGATCATGGCTGCGCTGTTTGCCAATGCTTCTGTCGCCGTCAACTCCGTCGCCGGCGAAAGCGTGGACTTTGCTCTTGCGACTGTAGGAGTATCTCCAACAGTCATTGTTGCATCGTCTCGCACCATGTCCGATTACCACACCAAATTCATGAAGCCTCACTCCGGGCCCGTGTCTTCCCTCGCGCGTTGGATCCAGGTGCGAAGTCTGGACGCTGGATATATGCCGTCCCACGGGCTACTGAGCCAGCTTGCCAACGTTGGGCCCATGGCCGAGCTCTCTCTTGACAAACTGCGTCTTCTGTGCATCTCCCACCGGTTTGACGCCGATCCCGAGGTTCGCCTGGACTTCGAGCAACTGACGGACCTGCGTCTCTTCACGGGTGCGCGTATCGTGTATGCTTTGACTGGACCCGGAATTGCCGGTGCCGTGTCGCAGACCAACGTCTTCGACTACAGACGCTTTGAGGGCGCCAGCCACTTTGGTGCCCCTCTCAGCAGCGTCGAGGTTGTTCTAACGGGTTTGTCGGAGGATTCTGAGAAGGAAGAGGGTCAGGTAAGCGCAGCCAAACTCCATGCCCTTCTTATTACCGCGTGTAGCTTACGCACTCCCCAGATTTCTGTAGCCGGCCCTTCGGTCGTCTCCGGCAAGACAGTGCTACCCGTGCAAGCTCGCTTGCGCGATGACAACACGTTGGAGCTCTGCGCCTGAATTACCTGCCAAGCGAAGGATGAGCGTTCTTGCGTTATGAATTGAGGACTTCGTCTCTATATGCATTGCACTTCCCCACCATCCCCTGTGTACTTTGTGTTCCATCCTGCACAAGCGACAGAATGATTCTTGCACCGGCATCGTGATGAACGCCTCTGAATCTTATGAGTATAGCCTAGGCTTTCGTATGTCGATGAACTGAAGAAAGGGATATGCATCTATTTTCGAATACAAGATATAGCTCCGAGCGGTTCTCCGAAAAGATCATGGTAATGTACAAAAAAAGAGAAAAAAGGCATAGACAGACTGGCGGCAAATTAGACAAAAACGATCATGGCTTTAGATATCAATTGACTAAGGCCGTGACCTGCTGGGAGCCCCGTCCGGGCTTTTTCCGGGACAACGTTGGGGCAGCATTCTTCTGGATCTTAATCCACTGCCGCAGGGCCTGCTCGTGTTTTTGGAAAGCCTTCAAGGTTGTGGCTTTGAGGGGCAACTTCTGAGCCAGCTTGATGGCGTGGAAGATGGGGACGTTCTGCTCCAGCAGCAATTCGACCTTCTGGTAGTTTCGGTACTCTTTCTTCTGGATCTGCTCGGCCGTCTGGACGGGGGACTCGGACGAAGCCTCGCCCGCGACCGGCTTGGTTTGCTCCGGTACCTTGATCTGGGGCGGGTTCATATCCAAGTGAAAGCTGTGCTCCAAGCTGGCCAGCAGACGGTCGCTGTAGGCGCAGACGAGGCCGTCGGCGTCCTTGCCGCCGAACTTGTCGAGGGCGCGGGCGGCGCTGAGCTCGAGCAGCACGGCGATGACGGCGGGGCGGCGGCGGGCGTCCTGGCTCAGGAGGCGGTTGGCGTGGCGGGGCAGCGACATGACGTCCACGAACTCCTCGCCGAGCGACAGCAGGCGGTCGAGCTCGGGGCCCTTGAAGCCCTCGGCCTGGGCGCGCAGGTGCAGCTCGAAGAAGATCTTCTCGCCCAGCTGCGCCTCGCGCAGCGAAAACCCGGTGGTCTTAGCCTTGGCGGCCTCCAGGATGGCGAGCATCGCGTTGTGGCGGCCCGCGCGCCGCACCACCATCTCCAGGTTCAGCTTGCGGTGCACCTGGTGCAGCGCCGTCAGGAACGCCGGTAGCACCTTCCAGTCCTCCGCCGACCGCATGCGGCGGATCACCGCGTTGGCCTCCGCGTTGCGCGGCTGCGCCGTGAACTCCTTCGGCCGCAGCTGGTACTCCTCTGTCTCGCTGATCGCCACCGTCACTGGGTGCTCGTCCAGGGTGCCCTGGTGCTTCTTCCGGTAGATCAGGAGCTTCTGCTGCTCCGTCAGGTTGAGCGGGATGAAGACCTCATCGCGGAACTTGTTGAGGCCGGGCTTCAGCTTCTGGGGCGCGCGCTTGAAGGTGGGCACTGGACCGAGGATGGTGATAAGGTTAGCTTTGGGGCTACTTTCGTAGGTAGGGTTTCTCTTGTCATCGGGGCGTTTGGGTTGTTGCAATACCTTTAGTGAGATACGTGCGCTTCTGTGAGAAGGAACCAACGGCTTGGCCAAGAGAGCTTGCGTTCTGGCAGCGCAATAGCCTGCTGCCCATGGCGAGCTGCGCCATTTCGATATGTGGTGGTGGTGGTGGTGGTGGTGGTGGTGGTGTGAGAGAGCTTATCCGCGAGGAGGAAGACAATTCGGATTTCCAGCAATCTGGAATTGACTCGAACAACGAGATAAATAGACGCACACGTTCCCCCAAAGCCGCTAAGAACAAACTCCGAACTGAGGATTCCAAGGATAAACTGGAAATGCAAAGCAACTCACTCCCTTCCCGATAATCGTGAAAGTCGCGGCGGCGGCGGCAGAAAATCTCCCGCATTGAACCAATGGCGGACTACCCAAACAGGCAAAGGGCGGAAATTCTGCCGGTCCGAATTCCTCTTTCTCTCTCTCAATTCAGCATCAAGTTGTTTCCCGCTGCCTCTCGCTCTCTCTACCAATTTCGACCCAGCAAACGGAACGCTGCAAGTTCCGCACATCTCGCCATGGCGAACTCCTCCTCGATCCTGCAGCAGCTGGGCTGCTTCCGGTCGCTTCTCACCAAGCCCCGGGTGTCGGGAGTCACCACCACCGGCCGCCGCATGCTCACGACCGTCTGGTCCGCCAAACCGGCCCCGATCCCCTTCCCCAAGGAATTGCCCGAACAATTCCACGATCAAATACCGAAGCGCTTCCGATTGAATCTCGGTACGTCTTCTGCCTAACACCCACGTACCACAAATCTCCCCTGGCTGGCTAGCTGGCTAGCTAGCTAGCTAGCAGGCGGGGCAAACACATCCCAAAAACCCCCAATGCTAACAACCAACAAACAGCCCCCAAGAAAATGAAGATCTACCCGCCACCCCCGCAGCCCAAGTGCAAGGACCCGATCGACTTCATCGCGCAGACGCAACTCAAGAAGCTGGACCCTTCGGGCAAGCGCCGCGAGCTCTTCGACTACCGGCGGCACGCCCGCAGCGTCAAGCCCGGCGACATCATCCGCGTGACGTTCAAGAACGGCGACCCGTTCGCCGGCGTGGTGCTGAGCATCAAGTTGCGCGGCGCCGACACCTCCGTGCTGATGCGCAACCAGCTGACGCGCGTCGGCGTCGAGATGTCCGTCAAGGTGTTTTCCCCGAACGTCGAGAGCGTGGAGATCGTGCAGCGCACGCAGAAGCGGAAGCGCAGAGCTCGCTTGTATTACCTCAGGTGCGTTACCACCCCCGCCCCCATCCGGGTCTCCCTCAGGGAGACGGGAGGCTTGTCGTGTGGAGTTTGGTTTTTTGCGTATGCTAATTCGATTTTCTTTGCGCGGCACAACAGACAGCCTAGACATGATATGGGCAGTGTGGAGAATCTGGTCGCCAACTACCTCAGACAGAAGAGAGCGCTCACTGGTGCGAAAATGGGCGGCAACCAGAAGCGGTGATTGTTGCGGTTGGAATTGGGGTTGTGACAACGGGCATGGTTTGGGGCGAATGTATTTTTATGTTAACTAGCATGTGTATATTGGATCTTAGGTCCGGGTGTTCGTTTTTTATCTCGTTTCGTGTTTCGGATACAGTTCAAATCAAAAGATCTGGGATTTCCTCTTGGCTTTTCTTTTTTCCTTCGCAGTTTACATGGCAAGTAGTTTGTCTTTGGTTTGGGATGGGGGACTTTGCAGGTGCTCTATTCCACAATACGAAGGATGCATCTACATATTGTTATACATTTCGGATATTGTTGTATGCACTGAGCATATGAGCATACCTAAGGCCCAACGCAGGACTTGCGAAGCACATAACAGCACATTCCATTTTGGACATCCTCTCTGTGTCATCTAGTATATGTACCGAAAACTGGTTTCGTATTAGCAAAGAACAGACTTCGGAGCAAGAGCATCCAAACACAAAAAGGCAGGTCTTCCAGAAGAATGCAGGAAAACACGAAGCGGCAGGACGTACTTCAAATTCTCCCGATCCGTCAAGTCCAAGAAAGCAGTCGAATCAAGATCTCTACCCTCCAAGCCTCCCTCGGTCTGAGACTGGATCCGATCGCGGCGCTGGTTCTCCCAGCGAAGCAGGAAACCTAGGGTCGAGATGAGGACAACCTCGAGCAGGTGGCAGACGATCATGGACCAGATTCCGAGCTCGTAGGTTGGGCTATATCGACAAAAGTTTAGATGTGAGTTGAGGATTGCTTAATGATCGAGTGCTTGCTGCACAGAGCGGGCTTACGCTTGGTTTGTCTTGTAGAAGAACGGGCCTGCGATGTTGCCGGTGCAGTAGCCCAGGAATAGCACGGCGTTGGTGACGACTTTCTTTGTGTGGCCTGTCCAAGTCCATCAGCTATAGACTTATCTTTGAAGAGTCTTGTAGGCTGGGAGGTGGCAAGCACTGAACGCACCTGCTGTATTCGCGATCTGCATGCTGAGAACCAAGACAAATGCTGCATTGTACGGTCCGGTCAAATAGTAACAGATCAAGCGACCGACTTTCTGATCCTGGGGCACAAAGCGAAGACCAAATGCTCCGGCTATGTTGGGCAATAGAAAGATAACAATGAACAGGCAGCGTCTGTTCTCGAACCGGTCATTGAGATAGACACAGGTCAGAATCGACAAGGCAATCAAGACTCCGTAGGGAATCTAAGAAGTGAGAAACATGAATCCTTCTCTAAAAAATTGGAGTATGCATACCTGCATGAGGGTTGTCACAAGAGTAGAGAACCCAAATCCTTTGATGATGAGTGTTCCAAAGTTGGAGATTCCACCGTTGGGTATGTTGCCTGCGCAAATGGCATTAATCAGTTAGGGTTGAGACGGTAGAGGTTCTGACACCTTACAGACTAAGCCCAAGGCGAAGAAGAAATATAGTTTGTAGTCTAGGAAGGCTTCGCGAATCTGGTGCAGTTTGATGTGCTTGTTCTCAACACCAGTCTGGTTCTCTCGAAGCCGTTCGACTGCAATACGACGCTCTCGTTTGCTAAGCAGAGGCGCCGTCACTGGCGAGTCAGGAAGCAAGAAGAACATCACTATACCCCAAGTGGAACAAAGACAGCCACTAGAATGCATGTATCCGGTCAGCATATGCAATGTTCCGCCCAGCAATGATCAGCTTTAGCCTTCTCTTACATGACAATGAACTCGTACTTCCACGAAGGAAGTGCTCCTCTGATATGCCCTATCCCATAACCCAGGAGGCCACCCAATGCGATTCCAAGGCCGTTGGCCGTATACCAGAGCCCAATTCGTACCGGCTGCTCTCGTCTCGTATACCACATGCTCGTTATAAGCATAAAAGCTGGGTCAGCGCAAGCTTCGGCCGCGCCTCCCAAGGCTCGTAAGACAGCAAGAGTGGCGAAATTATGACAAGCGGCTTGAATGATGAGAAAGACTCCCCTTGATCGAAGCATTAGCTGTGAGCCGCATCGGTAAGGTTAATGACGTGGAGGTTGGCTTACCACATGAATATGTTCGCACCAAGATATTTTCCTGCGCAAGAAGATCAGTTCTTTGTTCCGGCTGAGGGCTATGTGCCGTCTTACCTATAGGTAAGCGTTGCATGAGGAAATTGGTCGGCTTGCCCGACATTAGCATGAGCCATCGAAGTTCTGGGGAGGTCCAGACTCACAAAGGCCCATGCGAGGAATCCGAAGTAGAATACACTCGACAGCCAACTGTATTGTGTGCCATGGAGATTCAAATCCTCCTGGATCCCAAAGATCGCCGCATAACTAAGGGTGGTCTGTACGCCACGCCAGTGAGCAACCAGTAATCTCCGATGCAGGAAGCAGAATCGGGGGTTGCGCACCTTATCGATATAGAAGAATGCATAACAAACGGCCAGGTAAGGCAAAATCATCAAGTCGATCTTCCGAAGCAATTTCCTTGCCTCCAAGGGGTCAATCTCTTGATGGAGGACATCTGGGTCGTTGAAGAGAGCCATGGCAGTGTCCCCATCCGGCCGCGTTCCAGGCTTCCACCCTGGCTGGAAGTGATTCGCATCATGCGTATCTGAAGGTAGATCGGCGATGTTCTCTGCATGGACGGAACTGGGTTCGGTCTGGGCTTTATTGCCCATGTTTGATTTCGGAGTGTGTTGTTGCTCCGTAGGTTGAAAAGAGCCTGGAAGTAACAGCTGAGGTGTGACGCACGAAGAGAAAGAGATACTTGGGCACCTTTAAGAGGCTTAGTGAATGAAGTCTCAGGCCATGCCTAGAGCTATAGTGAGCTCTATTTCCGGCCTCGCAAACCTTGCTCAGAACCTGATACCTTGGTGATTGGACGGTCGTTCATCGAACGTGGGGGTATCAGTTTTGTCAGTTGTGCGGAGAAATGTGTTCTTCAGCCTGTCATCCAATCCGCACAGAGGTAGTGCATCATCCATGAGCATTAACTTTATACCTCGGTCATGCTCCGTCTGGAGGTTTCCTGGGTAGCCATCCACAGCATGGCTTTGATACGTGGGATATAGATCTCGGAGTAAAGCCGAGCATGACATGATGATGTGAGGTAGCTACCGGACACGAGACAGGCAGCTGATTTGAGGAGGAGAAGAACAATGCTGTGTGCTGGGATCCTCGAGATGGTGGATGAAGTAGCAATGCGGGGAAGTGGAGAAGAGCAACCCCGCGTGGGGGTGGGCGGAATATGGGGTAATTTCATCTCGCCTCCTGCCTCGGCCTCGAAGTATAAGTAAGCTACGTTGGAAGCATGCTAGCATACCACAGGACCGCTTCAAATATTTGTTTTCTTTATCATCAGAATGCCCTGCGCTGTATTCTGGCTTCCTGTGGGTAGCCGACATACGAAGTCCGGCTTTATTACTTCCTACAGATTATTCATTTTCCAGTGTAGAAGCTGCTATGCCTAAAGCTCAAGACTCATGCTAGGGAATCATGATAGGTGCTCGAGAGAGGAGCTTTGGACTGACAAGCCATTCGAGGTTACGGCTCACAACCTGGGATTCCCTCTTTTGCTTGAACAATCCTTACGCTTCTGGTCAAGTCAACAAGATAGAGCATATGAGTACAGTGACAAGGCGGCCATATTGCTACATCGAATGTGTTAGTGACCCTTAACATTCATAGAGGATTGCGCTGGTCAGAAAGAGGGTTGGAATCGTAATAGAGTTCTTTCGAGGAGGTGGAGACGGAAGGAAGTAAACACACCAGCAACATCCAAAGTCTTGCTGCCCGACGGTGATTGATTCACCGTCAAATTGCCTTGACCTTGCAGCCTGAGTCTGATGATTGTGTCTTCCAATCCAGTATAAGAGGAAGTCTGGTAAGAAGCAGACAACTCTCCGTCGCCACCACACATGGCAAGCTAAGCCCGGTCCGAATGGGTATGCAGATCCACGGAGGAACCCCGTGCCTGTATACAGCCACAATTTTCGGGATATAAATTGAGGAGTCAAACTCTAAATAGACTGTCCCAGCCTTAATCTAGGCAGATCCTCCGCAGGTAGAGCCCGAAGTTGGCTCCGCGACCTGGGAACCTATCTATGAGTATATAAGCTAGGAGAACGGTACTGATCGCCAAGTGCGGGCTCAGCTATCTTGAGCTCCCTTGGGGACTAGCACGGTATTGGCTATCTGCAGTGATTAGCTTTGTTGAATCACTAGGTGTTGATCGAGCCACGATGCACAGCATGGGGGGGGGGGGGGGGTAACCCATGTTTTCTGCAGTTCGATATGCTACATTGATGCATATCCCTCGTGGGAGGCGCTTGAAATGACTCGTTGGTATTCGCGCATCTGACCCAGGTTGTTCGTGGATCAGATACTCTGCGCTAGGCTCCTTCATCAGAAAGCAGGGTCACGAGTGATACATTCCCAGTTTCGTGCTCAGTCGACGCTGGCCGGAGCATCGGTACGCGGAGTCTGCAGTACGGATGGAGCAGCCGCAAATGGCGATGACCTTGAGCGGTGCGAGGTAAATGCGAGCCCAGTATACCACATCATAGATAACCAAAGCATGTGTGGTTCATGTTAAGCTTGCAGACCATGATGTCCAGGAGTCAGGTAATGAGGCACAAGTCGAGCTGCTGAATAAGGAGGGGTATTTATGAACTACCGTGTTCTGGAATGAATAAATTGAAAGACTTAGTGGAGCTAGATGAACAACCCCGGGCAGAGGTGTATACTGTCATGCTACTCCGTAGCTTTGGTTCAATTGAGGTGTCATGGCAGCTTCAGAGCGAATTCTGACAATGACTCGGGATCGTGGTACGCGCAATTTGTTTCTGAAACGAGAGGAAACACAGTGTTGAAACACGATTGTGACATCTCAGAATTGAAACACGGTACTTTTTGACGAATTTGCGAATCACGATAGGAAGGTTCGTCCCGATCAATGGGATGAAATGAGTCCCAATCCCTGCCATCTCTCAATCCTGTATCGATGGTGCAGATTGTAAAGGGGGGGGGGGGGGGGCGATAAGTAACCCCGGGCCTTACCCCCCCACCGTTTGAGCATAAGACGGCCAAGTCCGCCCGCCCCCAGCGTAAGCGCCCTGAAGGGAATTGCCTACTGCACCGTCAGCCTAAGCCCCTTCTCCCCCTCCCGCCTAGCGGCATGCATTCCGGAGCTCTGCCGTCCGCTCGCTCCCTTCAATACCCGAGGGTCAAACAACGGTTGACTCGATCACTGGTCACACACCGACTTTCGTCGTTATGAGCACCAACCATCCCATCCATCTATCTGCAAGACTAGAACGACTACTACTGTACCCCGGTTGCAGGTTTGCATTTGGTGTGCGGGTGGAGTAAATTACAATTGGCCCAAGGCGCCGTCATGGGCCTGCAGATCGAAAGAATAGGTGATGATGGGATTCTCACATGCTCCAGCAAACCACCCGCGACGACTCCTCCCCGGAGTCACGATATATTGAGGGGGGGAAGAAGAAGAGTTCAGGGACTCAGGTCTGTCTGAGAGTCTTCAGTAAAGAATTGATCCCGCTCCTTCGCCGTGCTTGATCGCGCCTAGTCCAGTGCGATTTATTTTCGAGGTAGGGATTAGGGATCCGTCTCGCCTCGTTCCGGCCCATTGGCTGAGTGTCGGAGTATTGCTGCATTAGTTCCGCCACTAGCCAGACATGGTCGTTTTGATATGGACATCCAAGCAACAGGGTACTTGTGTCTCTCAGCCGTCACTTCGGAGGACTTACCTTGCGAGGCTCTTTTCTAGACTATAGGACAAGTAGTATCTTGCGTTTGAATGAAGTGTTTGCGCCATTGACTCCGGCAATGGGGAGACAAGAAGGCCGGTGTGCTTGACAGCCGAAGAACCATAAAGGACTTTGCAACCCACCCCTGTTATGCCGACACAATCCATATCAGTCTGAGCCATGTGAATAGATTATAGGGTGATCATCATTGCTTTATGACAGATTGAAGACCTTGCACCGAAACTGAGACTTCATTCGATGTCTCAATCAATGTTGATTCGAAGACAGAACACCCTTAAGTGCAAATGGCCCATGAGTTATAAGTGCCTATATAGTATGTACTCAGTGCATACCCGATCGAGGATCAAACGAGATTGACAACCCATTATTGCGGAGCACAATGCACTGGCAGCCAACGACCGCATTATTCCCAACCCAGAATCACGACCACAGCAGGCTTAATGGCAGTTGGTTTCGATTGACTAGGTTCTATCGCAGTCTTCCAGAAGACCAAAGTGTTCAACCATGGAACCATTGGTTGTTGACCCAGAAATGTCCTCAAGGTAACAACAAGACGGGCACAGGGCATGTCGTCATGTTCAAAGGGTTGCAGAAGGCCATGAAAACAGAATCCGCCACGCAGATCCGAAGATCTCTGACGTGGGGGGTTTCGGCGATTGGACGAGTTGCCATTTCCTGCGTTCCTTAAAGCTGGGGTTTTTTTAGGGGGGGGGGGGAACAAAAGATTCTTTCCTCCCCGCATTATGCGCGGTTGAACAGGGAAAAGAACTCATATGAGAGGAACGTGCTGGGGGACTATTGAATAAGCTAGGTAAATGGTCGAGACTGTGGTGGTTTCAACGGGGAGGCTAGAAATAACTACGTGGTCCTTGGTGGGAGAGTGGAAGTGGAAGTGGAAAAAGTGTAGCCGTTCGCGATGGATGTTTCCCATGGTGGTGGAATAATGATGAACGCACTGAATCATTATTGGAAAAGAGAGGGGAAAAAAAAGGAAGGGACGGAAGAGCAAAGAACTGAGACCAACCCAATACGTAGCCGGAAAACCCCAGTTACTACTCGACTCCTAGAGGTATCGTCACCAGTCAGCCAGCCCTGGGCAAAGGCAGAATCCCCTGCCCGGGAAGCCGTAGCCAGTTATGGAGTAACTACGGAGTAGGGAAGGTAAAGTGACGTAATGACCAAAATAGGTGTAACTCCCCCCGAGCCCAGTGACTGGGAGCCGCAGCGGCGAGTTCACACGTTCTCTGCCCGTCCGTCCGTCCGTCCCTCTTCCTGTCTGTCTGTCTGTCTGTCTGCGTGGTGCGACCTGCCTCTCTCACACACACACTCTCTCTCTCTGACTAAGACTACAAGCCCATTTGCCTAGTTAACTAAACTATTAATGAATTAGCTACTGCGGGAGAACACCACATTTATATCGTCTTAATTTAAAAAAAAGAAAATAATAATAAAAAAGCATCTGATGGAACTTGCAACACCCTCCCACAAAAAAAAGTCTGCTGGTTAGGTACAGTAGTAGAACATGTACTGTAGAAGGGTTGCTGGTCTGCTTCTCCAAAATAGCATCCGGTCCTTTCCCCTCCGTCCCCCAGGTCATTACATGCACCTTTAAGGGAGGGGAGGGGGGGCCGCATTTCGTAGTTAGGGAGTTAAACACCCACAATTGACCCACTGCTGGCCACTTCTGGATAAGACGAAAAGTGGGTAGACTACCAGACTACCAGTAGTCCCAGTGGCCATCCTCAGAGTGGGACGCCCGCCTTTATAATGTCGACTGACCCTCCATTCCGCTGGGAAAACGTCAACGCTTCGCTTGAAACACATAAGCAAGGAACCAAACTGGGAATCTCTTCCCGGTTCCTTTCCCCTTCCTCATAAATCTGTCTTCCCTCCATCTCCTAAATAATCCATACAACCATCCTATACTATCTCGGACACTACTACCACCGCTACCACCATTATCACCAGTACCACATCTCTCCCCACCCCCCTCAAAATCAACCTCCAGTTATCCCTAGATTAATCGCCGCTCGCCTTAATCACCATGTCTCGAACTAAGGTCCTGCTCGTCGGAGCAGCTGGTGAAACCGGTGGTTCTATTGCGAATGGATTGCTCGAACAGCCCAACTTTGTATGCTGTCCACGTCCATCACCTGCCTTGTTCCTCCGACCCTGGTGCTGATTGCGTGCCTCTCGCCCTTACAGGAAGTCCATGCTCTCGTTCGCCCTCGCTCGGCCCAGAAGCCTGCCATCGTTGCCCTGCAAGAACGGGGTGTTCAGATTCGCAAAGGTGATCTCAAGGGTCCCGAGGAGTCGCTTGCCGATGTTCTCACCGGAATCGATGTCGTCATCAGTTGTGTCGGCCCTTCAGAACAACAGGATCAGATTCCTCTCGCCAAAGCTGCGAAGAATGCCGGTGTACAGCGATTTGTTCCCTGCGGTTTTATCACAGTAGCCCCGCCTGGTGGTATCATGTGGCTGAGAGACGAGGTATGCTGGCTGGCTCATCCGAATCTTACGTTCTCGATTAACCTTCCACGCAGAAAGAGACGGTCTACAACCACATCAAGCAGCTCAGACTACCCTACACCATCATCGATGTCGGGTGGTGGTACCAATTCTCTTACCCCCGCCTTGAGTCTGGTCGCATCGATTATGCCATGACTTCAGCTAATAACGAGATCGTCGCTGACGGAAACTCCCCCATCGCTTTGACGGATTTGCGGGATATCGGTCGCTATGTCGCCAAGATCATCACCGATGACCGGACATTGAACAAAATGGTATTGGCGTACAACGAGGTCAAAACGCAGAACGAGATTTACGATCTATTGGAGGAGATCAGCGAGGAGAAGATCCAAAGGAACTATGTAAGTGGTCTTTAGCACTGCTCGTGCCACAACATCGACTGACGTCATAATCACTCAGATCCCTGAAGAGACCATCTACACCCGAGTGCTCGCAGCCCGCCAATCTAGCGAAACCTACCCATTCGACCCCATCAAGTTCATTCCCAGATATCTCGCCGAATATCAGCTATCCTGGGGTCTACGGGGTGACAACACGCCGGAATATGCCAAATACCTGGGTTATGTGACTTCCAAGGAACTGTACCCCGACTTCACGCCTACCGACTTCAGGGAATACCTGGAAACCGTCGTACGGGGTGCGGCCAAGGGTGTGTATACCGACCGCACCATTTCCAAGGCTCAGCAACGCTTCTTCCCCCGATCGGAGTCCAGCGACTCTCTCTATACTCGGATCTTCCCTCGTACTGAATCGAGCGATTCCCTGTACATGTCTCGATGAAAGACCGCCTCTGTCCCTTGTTAGGAAGAAACACGAGTCGGCGCTAGACGCGCCTCCACCTTCGTGCTGCTTCGATTATGATCGAGTGTACGGTGTTCTTATCACAGTGGATACCACAGCATATGATGGCACCTCTCCCTCCCTTGTTGTTTCTCTTTGCTTTTACCTTCTCATGGGTCTTTTTTTGTTCCTGGGGGTTCTTAGACAGGCGTTCGTGTACCTATTGATGGCTTATGACTGTCTCGAGTGGATGAGTATGATTACGTCACCACCACGTTTATATACCAATGTACTTCGGGGGTTTTCTCCAATCACCCAGTGTCGGTGACAGGTCTCACGGTCACTGGAAAGATATCAAAAATTCATTCTTATTCATCATTCTTTCGTCGGGTCCTACGTAACCAAATCTCCAATGGTGACAACATGGACGGCAAGTGCAAATCATCCCGTCTGAGTCAGGCAACTACACGATTTTTTCTTCCTTCTCAACTCCAACTCAACTTTATGAAACTCACAGAATTCAGGCGCACTCCCAGGACTCGAAATCGGATTTCTCCGGAGGCAACGCATCCGTTCTGTATGGGTGGCGATGGCTCCGGGAAAATGCGACAACGATCGAGATCATGATAGTGTCCCAACAATGAATGAAGGCGACATCCCTTCGATACAGCCTTCCTTCCACTCGCGCATACGGCCTGTTATTCCTGTCTATGCAGCTTTAAGTCCGCGTCAAGTCAATCTACTTGGTGCGCACTCGTCTGCCGAACTTAACCTGTATGTCTTACTTACCTTAGCCATAGCTATTGGAGGAGCGATCAATACTGGCCTCATGATTTGTGCAGGTCGTGCGCTTTCACAGTAAGAACACCAACTTCTTCCATTCCTCACTTCGATACTGACCAGAGAAAACAGGGCTGGGGTAAGTACCTTGAAACCTTGATCGATACACACTAACCGCCAAAGCCTGCTTCTATACTTATTTCCTACACATTTGTCGGGTTCATTGTCTATCTGGTTCTGTGTGCTCTGGGTGAGGTCGCTTCTTGGTCCACAGAACCATCAATGGCCGAGAATGCGTCCCGATTCTGCGATCCGGCGCTTGGGTTCACGTTAGGATGGATGTGAGTCTTCATACCTCATAGAACCTCGCTATTTTGTATGACTTGGTCTAATCAGAACAGTTATTGGTTGAAATTCATGGTTGTGATCCCCAATCAATTCGCAGCAGGAGAACTGCTGATAGCCTACTGGCAAGGTGATGAGAAAGGATATTCAATCTTTTGGATCACGTTCTTTCTCGCGGCAATCATCGTTGCGAACTCGAAATGTAGCCAATATTTCGACCAATACGAGCTTTTCCTGTCCTGCATGAAGATCATTGTGATGTTGGGTCTAGTTTGTCTGTGTGTCGTCCTGGCTTTCGGTGGCGGCCCTGACCATGATAAGAAAGGCTTTCGTTACTGGAGCTATCCAGGTGCGTTTGCTCAGCACTCGAACAAGGAAGCAACGGGCATACTACGTGCGGTCTTCCGAACAGTCCCTTCTGCTACGTTGGCCTATCTCGGAAGTGAGCTCATGGGCATCACTATATTGCGCACGCATAATCCCCGAGAAGCTGCAGGGCAGGCCATTGAGTCCAACTGTTATCGCATCCTGGCCTTCAATATTGTCAATGTGGCTCTATTGGGGATACTGGTTCCCTCTGGCACCCACGTCTTGGCCTTAGGTCAGTCCCCGGACAAGGCCCCGCCGGCCTCAGCTTTTGTGACGATCGCACAGTATACTGGCTGGTCAAAGTTGCCACATATCTTGAACGCCTTTCTACTGGTCTGTGTCATTTCGGCTGCTAGTCAAGCCCTCTATCTGGCGACAAGAACACTATATGAGCTTTCTGTAGATCGACATGCTCCTTCTTTCCTCTGTCGAACCAATGATCGGGGAGTTCCAATATATGCCTTGGGTGTGTGCGCCCTCATAGGATGCACGGCATATCTAAATGCCTTCAGCCGCTCTCAGAAACTCTTCAACAACCATGTCAACCTGGTTTCGATGTTCAGCATACTTACATGGGCCTCCATCCTGTTGGTTCATATCTCATTCGTGCGAGTTCGAAGGGTGCAGAAGATCGCCGACAAGGATCTCATCTTCCGGGCTCCATTCGGGGTGCTCGGCTCCTGGGTCGCCTTGGTGGCATGTATCTTTTTCTCGGTGATTCGAGTATTTGACCTTACAAGTCGCGATGCTTACCCACAGGGGTTTGACTATGTGGCTTTCATCACATCTTATGTGGGGATCCCACTATATGCTATACTTGCCGTGGGATACAAGATTGCTACCAGGAGCCACTCGGTGCAACCTGAGAGTGTTGACATGAGCACCCTCAAGGCTGAACCAAGTTCGTCAAAAGCAGGTTGCACTCTTTCGACGCCGGGACAACCTGATCAAGTCTGTCCTGACTCAGAAGCAGCCCGCATGCGCCGAAGCATAATCTGGTGGGTGCTGTGACTGGGCGGGGGGACTAATTGAATTGGAGAGTGATTGCTCTGCGCTTGGTCGCATGGTCTGTGGGTCGGGAACAGTACAGAACATGCTATAGAAGCTTGCTTACGCGCTAGACCTTCTACTTCCCGTCCAGATATCTGATTCAAAAAAAAAAAAAAAAAAAAAATGGAAAAAAAATGGAAGGAAAAAAAATCAATTCAGTAATTTTCATTTTGCTCGAATCTTTTGTTATAGCACTGACCTGGAGCGTGGCATCAGACTGCCGCATGCTGGTATCTAATTACGGCACTCGAGGGATATGAGGGCAATGTTACTGGTGATACCAAGAAGGTCGCGAAGGGTGGCAGCAGCATGAAAAAGCAAACATACCGAGATTTGTGAGTTTTATATGGATGTCACTGCATAGTCGGAATGACGTGTCGAGGTGACGGCGTCAAGAGGTCTATTTGATTCGCTCAAGAGGGGCAAGTGGAGGGCAAGTGGAGGGGTGGATTGATTGAAGCTGTCAGTCAATCTTTCTTTAGCATCAACCACCCAATTTTCTTGTTTGGTTTGCATCTTCACCCATCAAACCACCTTCTTTTCTTCTTTTCCGCTTTGACATTTCTTCTCTCGATTCTTCTCAAAACGCTATCACCCCTAACGCTAATTTTCCATCAATGCTGGGTTTTACCTCTGATTGATCGGAGGCGAGAGTCGAGGAAGGTGTCTGGCGCTGGTCGCCGACTCGATTGTTTACCATCCACTGGAGAATACTTAACTAATGCGGATGGACGTTACAAACCAGTTGTAGCTGTTTCCAATAAGAATCTAAAGTTGGAGAAATGAGACATCCGATATTAATATCTGCAATAGTCGAAAAGATTGGCTTCTAAGGTAACTATTCTAGAGGTTTAATAGACTTACAGCGCTACTTTTTACTTGGAAGTTGTAGTGCTTTTCCATGTGGTAAACCGTCCAAAATGTCCGGTAGCAGACAGGCGTTGTTTTCAGTTGAGGAAGACTTATGATATCTAAGTGCCAAGACAATACGACTAGCTTCTGCCAGTAACAAATTGTCAATCTGTAGGGAGCACGCAATCATTGCAAAGATGGCCTAAGGAGCAGTAGAGTCCATGGCGAAATTCTCACAGCCCTTGGTGAGGAATCGGCCTACCGTTGCAACGAGAGCCTGAAACAGCAGTTAGCAGGTGAAGTAACAGCAGATAACTCGGAAATTGACCTGAAGTTTAGGCAGCGAGTCCCGGCTAGTAGTGACTCGGGCCAAGTAACGAAGGGATGTCTCGAAAAACTTCCACGCTTCGCCAACGCCTGGCTGAAAAGAGCCGCTCCCATGATACTGGCATTGAGGACTCGAATAGTTGATCAGTCTTAAAACACTTAGGCGCCGGAAGAGGATAAGGTACCGCGTCTATCATCGACCTATTATAGTTGTCAATCATCTCATTTCAAAAGCAAGGCGAGTCAACATACTTTAAGAACAGAAAACTCATCATATAAAGGTGCGCTTTCAGATGGATCTTGAATCAGACGGTCTATGACTAGATTCGTACACAATGGAGGGGCGTTTGTTTTAGCTGCTTCTGTCAACGGATGCCGTAAAATGAATGGAGACAGTACGCTCAGTAAGACTAGAAGAGCATCCCTGTCTTTCTTGAAGGTCTTGGCTTTCAATTGCTAAATAAGCAGATCTGATTCCGCTTCTATGGAAAAATATCGATCAATCGCTCGTTGATCAATGCTGCTCCGCAGGCTTACCATGCAGTTGGTACAACTAAACTTGTGCTTCCGGTGGCAGAGTTGGAACTATGACCTAATAAGCATACTATCACTAGTGTGTGCCCAAACATCTGACCTAAATCTTTGTGTATCGGAGAGAGGGGAGGAGGGGGGGCCGCGCGGACAGCGACGCAGGGGAAGCGCTTACTCTAAGAAGAACCGAGCTTGTGCCTCAGTGTCTGGCTCAGCATGGTCTTCAATTATACATCTGTGGGTTGTCTCATTTGGCCTCCCGGGGACACTCAAGCCAACGGTGGCTGAGATATTGGATTTCAATACATATTGGATGAGTATAGGATACAGAGATGGCTGACTCGCTTGTCGCTTACGTTATCTGTTCTACCTGCTGGGTCCCTGAAGTGGTGAGCTGATCCAACTTTGTGTAACATAGCTTGTAGTATATACAGCTGGATTTATCTTCACCTCAACATCCGAACCTTGTGATTCTTATCGACATTCCCCTACTTAAGTGATGCTGTCTTACTATAATGTACAGGGAAATAAATATATACATTTACAATGTACATACTACTAAAGTTTCCCAAAAAAAAAAACATTAGTATATCCATGATGACTCTACTGCAGCGGACATACGGTGATTCGATTATTGGCAGCTAAGAACTTAGCCTGATAACTTACTAGCAATGCTTATCTCTTCAGGATGCTATTGGGAGGCCACTAGAACACTGACCACTCTTTCGAATGCCGACTATTTTGCTCTGCGGCTTGCCCTTACCTGTTACTTGCTTAGGTTTTTCTTTACTGTCTATCTCACTATAACGGCATCGTAAGGAGGTGCCGTTCATTCCCTAAAGTAGCACGCGGTTTACACTGGGTGTCTCACGTGAGCATTGCTATTTAGTTCGCCTGGGCTGTGTGCGCACCACTCAGATCCACCCATCTTCAGCCGTAGGCCAACTCGGCAGGTTCACACCTAACGTCAGTCTCGCCTGTCTTGACAGAAGAGGGCTTCCGTCGGCCATTCCTCCTCATTCGTCTCACACCAAGAAGATAACAGTCAAGGGACACCCCGTTAATAAGGCACATAAATAAATTGTGTGAAGACATGATAAGTTTAGGAGGCAGACGTGAGTTCATGTCTAACCCAGAAGCACCGGGAAACCCATAATCGCGAGGCGAAGGGATCCAATCTTGTATATTTTAGTCCATTACGACGCCTCAGAGGTCCGTACCATTATAAAACTGTGTAGCAGAGTTATAGACGGCAGTGCGAATTTCACCTTCAAAGAGGCGCCGAATATCGGCAACTGAATTCCCCGAAGCGAGGGCTAATTGAAGCTGTATACGGGATTGTTCTCCATGCATAAAGCCGGAATGAATACTAAAATAGAGGAACGGTTAGCTTTGTACAAAGCCTGAGAGCTGCATCTAGAACATACATTTTCCCCGCTTGTGGCTCAGGGACAACGGCACCGAAGAATGGGCGAAGAGATGCCACAGTCACAACTCCGCTGTTATAGAGGTCCATAGCTGCGTTCGTGGCCGCTGTGCTAAGCCCACCCGGTCCGACGCCCATGATTACAATGCCCCTGTCTGAATTAGTCACACTCTTTGAGAACTATATGTAGGTGAAACTCACTTGGCGCCATCGGCAGCAGCAGCATACAAGAGGCCAGCATCGAATCCCTCTATAAGTCATGTCAATATAGCAATCGTGAAGGAATCCAGGCTTTCAGAAGTACTTACGATGGCCATAGAGGACAACTACCTTAGGCAACGGTTGTGAAACGTTGAACGGGTCAAAATAGTGCCTCCCTTTTGGCAGTGATGCTCCATAGAAGAAGTACGGCTGACCGGCAAGAAACTGCGCAATGTAACCCTGGTCCATAGCTAAGAAAGTCGACACTGTATTGCCATTGGTCTTTGTTCCATAAAAGACTGAGATGAGATGGTCATTGAAGGCAATCATGGCTCCGCGATCACGGGCTTCGGGATGTATCGCGGTTCGAACGGCATCATAGAAGTTGAACGGGCCATCGGCCGATAGGGCTGAATTGGGTCTCATGGAGCCAGTAGCAACGAATGGCTTTGAGCAATTGAGAGTTAGATCAACCCCAAACGCCTGAAGAGGTCAGCATTGTCCATACATACCCTACCGGGGCTGCACCGTTCAAAGGGAAAAAAACGAAAAAAGAAAGAAAGAGCTACCGTTTCAGCAAGAGTGTTGGTGCCGTGAATCATAACAGCACCGACAACATCAGAGTTATGGGCACACAGACGTCGGTTTGCGTCCATCGAAATGTTCAGGAATCTGTCCGAGTCTGCATCGGCGCTGCCCCCGCCACCAATGTTGCGAACCGCAATCTGGGCTATGTCGAGAACTTCGCTGACACCACTAATGAGTGTCTCGGGAGTTAAACCACCAACACCGCCACCATAGTTGATGGTGTCCAAGCGCCCGTGGGTTGAGCCCGACAAAATAGTACCGTCCCCAGTATTATACAGTCTCACGGAAAAGTTAGGCCAGGTAGAATTTGCCAAACATGAGAGGAGCAACCTACATGACTTTAGGCAGACGGTGATCTTTATAGATCCACGTCAACCCGGTGTCAGGGTCCTGTCGTGTCTGAACCTGAAGTGGGGATGCCAAACTTGTCGCGGCAGCGAGAAGCGCCGATAATATAGCAGAGCGGACCATGGCAAAGACAACAAGCCCAGCAATAAGGGATATGATGTTGACGCGTATAGACACCTGATCTTACTCTACTCTTTATATAGTATATAGGTGATAGGTTCTTATCTATACTTCATTATCTGCCATACATCCCATGACAAACAGCTTAATTGTTATCAACAAACCCTGGAGATATGAAATGTGGGTCTAAGGGAACAACTTTGGTTATGCTTTTTCTAAGGCTGTATGAGCATATTGGTTGACGGGCTACTGGGTTATCAGATGATTAAATTTCTTCGATCTTTCTGATTTTGTAAGCACTGCATGCAAGCGATTTCCGAATAGATACTGACGGGTAAGTCTTCCGACATCGGAGAGATCTTTAAGTATTATCCTGCCTCTGGGCTTTTAAAGAGTGACTTAAACAACTCTTTGCTAACCCACTCAACATGTGTCTCAATGCAGTACAGGGACTCGTCGGTATTTTAAATTTAAAAAATCTTTCAAGATAAGAGTGTGGCCAGGAACAATTTAGACATCATAGGCATATATTTCGAGGTATAGTATTCCAGATTAAAAATAGTATCTTTAAGGAAGAGGACCTATTATCGGATTGCAGTGTATAAGGCTCATTCTAGACTATAGTAACGGGGACATCGGAGTAGTGGGAGGGGAAGCTAAGCACGAACTGTATATTTAAAAGTTATAGTCGGCAGAGGTGGCATATGAACCTGTCCAAAATGTCACTTGCTAGCCATCTACTTGTAAGCTTCACTTCTAGGATACATCTTAAGCAAATTTAGATAGTCCATAAATCATGTCTCCAGCACAGCAGACAACCGCACAAGAAGATTCTTATCCAGGGCTAAAGCTAGCAAGACCCAGTTCAGAAGACCACTCTGAAACTCCGGATATAGCAGCAGCAGCAGCAGCAGCAGCAGCCCGTGCCTTCGGAAAAGATAACAGTGTAGGCAATAAAGGCTTCGGTGATGGGATTACCCCCGTTAGTACGAGACTATATGGGAATATGATCGAATGCAATGTAATTAATTCAGGCCGTTCTTCCAAGGTAATGATTGTCGAAAAAGGTTTCTGGGCGCTATCTTGCTCTGTGTTACACTAATTTTGCGGATCTGAACCGCCACGACTTTACCACCTGCATACAGTCAGAGTGCTGCAGGTAATGCCATCAATCATGGTGCTTTTACTTGTATACTTATATCGCTATATGCGTGCATCATCCCAAAGACACTCTGCAACAGCAATCACACCATGCTCCTGTCAGTAGAATGACTGGCTCCGTTATATTCTTCAGACGGGAGTATGAGAGTTACTGGACCAAAAAATGCCGTAACTTGCGAGGCCGGCTTTGAAAACACCTATGCTGAAGTATATTTGTCAGTGGGGAACAATTTGATAGACCATCCGGTCCGTAACTGTACGACCAATGATATCGCCTGAGGTGGGACACACATCCAAGCTAACATCCGGAATTCCTTCTTAAGGTAATCTGTGTTATCAGTATCTAAGACGTCTTTCCCAGCCTAGCCAAGTGACAATTACATATATAATACAAACCTAGTTGGTCCTTGTCTACTAAAAGAGTGATTATCTTTCCTTCTGAGACTAATTTAATTTTTATTTAGCTATTCTTTTATACTATGCAGTATTACTTTTACCAGCTACTATAGCTACAATACTATCTACTCCTAGGCTAAAAACAGAGCGTAGTTATCCGTATCTTCTCTTACCTATATTCGGGTTACGGGTTTCTTTTCTATATTTAAGACTAATAAATTTTGGTAAAGCTTAGTAAGCTCGGTGCTTCTTCTTGCAGGTATATGTATGTAAGGGCCCTGCGAGCCCTTCCAACCTTCGCGATATCCATCGCGAAGGAATGTATATAAAAGAAGGCCTAAGGCATCAGCCACGTGACGGCTAAGCGAGGTGGTCGCGGAACCACCTAAGGCAGCGGCAGTCCCGCGAAGTTAGGCAGATCAGCAACAACACCTTAGGGCAATATACTACCACCTTGGCCATTGCGAAGGACATTCGTTCACTACACTATTTCACCCTATAGCCCTTATAATGTATACTACTTTTAGCTGCAGGAAGGTCAGTGAATAAGCTTTAATTCTAAGTTTTTATCTAATATTTGCCCAGGAATTAATAGGGGAATGCTCTAAAGAGAATGCCTTTAAGATTGTCATGGATAATCTTCGAAAACATGGCGAATTGTCAACGGTCCACCTGCGCATCCCTGCATAATAGTCGCGACGTCAATGACTCCCGACTTCCCTAATACTTAACTCCTAGGGTCTTGCTAGACCTTCAGAATAGCAAGGATTAGTCTTGAATAATATGGACTGCTACTATCCTATACCTAACCGACCTATTTCCCTTAACACTGAACTAAAGGTCTTTGTTTGTAGGTTAAGTTATTTAATATATGCCTTTAAGAAGGGGATTATACTTTCTATACTGCTAAATCTTATTTAGCTTTTAGGGTGTTTCTAAACTAGTATATTATATATATGCTATAAATAGACAAGGTTTAATGCCTCTGGTGCAGTCAAATATTGCAATATCTAAAAGTATAATAGGTAGAAGAAGTATAGATCTTAAGTAGTTGTAGAGTATTGTTGACCTGTAAGCAAAGCCTCTGGTAACTTTTTTTAGAACTTGGATAAGTATTTAGGGTAATAATTACTTCTCTAGTGTTAACTCCCGGAGTGATCCGGGATTGTTTAGGTATTGCTTAGGATACGTACTTTTGTACTTCTTATATACTGTCAGCGTTGCCAAGTAATCTGGCCACGTGGTTCCAAAGGCCTTTTCATCTTGTTTACATGCGGGAACATAGCTAGTTCAACCAACCAACCAACCAACCAACCAACCAACCACCAAGAATCATATCAAACACATCCCAGAACCTCTCCTCTGAAGCCTCTCAAATCGTTGATATATACTCCGAGCTGCTCAGGAAGTAAAAAGCGGCGCCAAGTTCAACCTAAAGCGGAAAGGGAAAGTCGTTTGATTTCCGCAGCAATCCAGTTCAATAGTGATTTAGTATTCTGCCTAACAGATCGTTAGTCGAGTTCTTAGTTACCGCGCTAAGGTTTAGATCATGCGGCCTACTGGAGTGGCGACTCTCGCCCTACTTACCGGAGACATAGCCTCCTCCCTGGGTATTATGGCGGACCTAGCGGTGCATTGGCGGGCTACTTACTCGCACCAATAGTCGCGAAGCTTAGCGTCGGCGGAGTCGAGTTGCGTACCTGCGGAAATTACAAAGTGCTCCATTCAACTATTAGTACTCCTACTAAAGCCCATAGAAGATATCATGGGGCTTGGCGGGTAGAACGAAAGCTCGTCACGAGATAGTGAACCGGTTCAAGGGTCCTGTTATTGTAATAGCAGTAATCTACGGAGTAGTTAGGAATCGTAGCAGTGAGGGACAGTCCCCGGACAACGAGACACCATTCAGTCACTACTCATCGTCCACTCCACAACATTAGAAGCTGGTATGACCACTTTAGGTCGGTTGTTATTGTCCTTCGGGTGCGAAATTGGCTCGATCCCCGAGCCAGGTAGCGTGACAATGGTTTGCGCGTGATCCTCGGCCGTACCCCAATCCCACCAGTCCAGAGTATTTCCTTTGAATTGGTATCGGAGCTGCTCGCCAGGCCGAAGGTCGTCGGGCAGATCGAAAGACCAAGAATTGGACCAGGATTCCCCGGGATAGAGCGTCACAAACCGACCTTCTTCGCTTTCCGCCACGTTGAGCTCTCTGTCAGGGTTATCCCAAAACACATGTGGTGACCGATCGTTCTCGAATCTCTCCCATTCGTTCTCAGTCTTCAGGTCAGACTGATTGGGACAGAGACAGCGATAGACGCGAAAGGCGTCGAACGGGTTAAACGCCCAGGTGTGGAAAGTGATCGGTTGAGAGCTCTCATTGTCGGATGATGGACTGTGGTATATGACCCGCGTAGATATGTTCAAATCCCCGTAAACAGACATTGTAGAGCTGCAGCTCAACTTTAGACTTAGGACTGGTGCACCAGGCCTGTCTTGAAATTAGCCGTTGAATATCTTTCTGAATACCTTTCTATTGGAGAGCTTACACCCTATTACTTGGACTGATTGGTGGTGGTGTCGGAGGGGAGGGAATTTGCGGTTTCCTCCCTTCTCGCACAGTGAAGGTGAGATGTGCACCACCCGGAACTAAAATTGGGGGCCATTTTTTTTTGGTTTCCTTCTTCTGCTGTGGCGTACCCCAATCCCAGTATGTAATCTCTTTGCCCGTCCAGAGAAGGGTATAGGTGCGCCCCGGTTCTACAAGCCTAGCCCAGGTCTCAGGTAAGCTCGTTCGCATATTTATTGTACTGCGGTCCCAGGTTTTCTTAGCCTCTTCAACATAGAATGATGCCGGTTCATCAGGGAACTGATGAATTGTTGGTAACAATGGTAAATATCTCGAGTGATCTTCAATTCCGACCTTCTTGATATTGCCGCTGTCTGGATCGTGAGATATTAGAATATATTCTTCCTTACGGGGATCTATGGAAGATTCCCAGCGAAACCAGAACTGTTGATCGTCTAAGACCCTGCGCAAAGTGATCGTGAATGAGTAGGTTGGTATTTTGCCCTCTGTCCAGAGTGTCGGGCTGCCATCTAACTCGAGGACTAAGGGTGGGGTGTCGGGCCTGTGCAAAACGCTTCTTAGCACCGGCGGTGTCTTCACAATAGTCGTAATAAACGTACAGCCTATTGTTTTCCTTCCATCTTATGTACGTATCCATTTGGAATCAACCTCGGTTTGGGCTAAAAAGTAAGGGGTTCAACTCTTGAGCTGCATGGAATTGTCTGTGACTTAAGTAGTACAAGGGTGAGCGGGGGGGGGGACAGGACCATTGGCACATTTTGATGGGGTGCGGGAGCCCGTGCGGAGGGCGGCAGAGCAGCCTTATATGGCAGGCGGTAAGGTTGTAGAACCATCACTACAAAACCCCACCTGTTAGCTTACTGACAGCTTACGCTCACTTTCCACTATCCACCAATCGGGTGACTCATTCGCGGATATAGATGGATCAGTACCTCATAAAAGCGGCGGCACCCCAATTGGGTAAGCAAACGGGAATTGCAGCAAAACAGTTCACTTATACACTAGTTATCCGCGAATTATGGAGAAACAAATTTCCCAATCGGTGTACTCTCACAACTGACAGCTCCGAGGTCGTTCGATTAGATTGTACGCATGCAGTCTGGCCTGTCAATCTCATTCATTCTCTGGCTCTGACGAAACATGGGCTTCCCTATCACTCCAAGCCGAAGCGGGCAAGAATTGACTCAACTCATAGACGAGATCAACGAACGATTCTCGCTGGAAATCCCCAATCCCCGCATCTACTCCCCTGGCGGTGACAACAAGACACCGGCATGGAGATGTTATGGCGGTCTCAAGCGACTCTACTTCAAAGGTCCCTTCTATCGGGTCCTCGAAGATTTTCAAGAATGGGTTTCGTCTCGTTCACTCCATCCATCTCGCTTGCTTTCGAGTCATGAAAGGGAGGAGCGACTGGGATACCTGTTGCGATTGATTGACGATGAGCTCTACCTAATGGCCAAAGGCTCATTTCCGACCAACCGATTGTTGGAGCGACTTTCGGCGGAGCCTGACGATCTAACGCCCAAGTCATTGAAGAGACGACTTTCTACTGATGAGGACGAGTTCCACACTGCGCCGAGCTCTCCGGTCAAAGGGCCTGCAAGATCAGTTTCCCCTTTGGAGACAAGCGATCCTCTCCATGTTGTCGAATCCTCTAATCAAGGTAGCCATCAGCAGTCAACGATCGCGGCTGTTCCTGCCAACCTTTTCCAAAGCCCTCGCGGATCTGACACGGCAAGGCCTTCCAAGTTCGTAGAGAAACTGACCGCACCTGAAAAGTACCGGCGATACGACGCTGTACCTGCTGCCCAGACCGGCGTGAATGTCAGCTTCGCAACAACTACTGCCTCGTCCTCTGACCTTTTCGCTTCCCACAAAGTCCCATATAACACCTCCTTTCTTTCGGCAACCACTGATGCCACCGAACCCATGCCGGAGGATGAATCACTGTACGAAGACTCAGTGGTAGGGCATATGCTCAGTCAGGAGATGAGAACGACGTTCGAACAGAAGAGTCGAGTTTCAGGCCCAATTCATGGGTCTCGTTACAGCGATGATGGACAAATCATTGTAGAACTTCTAAAAGACGGACCGTTCTCATATGAACAGACTCTCCCAAAGTCGATTCCACTTCGCTATCGATATGAGCTGGAAAGGATAGGTAGAGCGTGGAATGTGCCTTTAAGCCGCATACTCGTTGGCGATACCATCTCATTCAAAACTCTGGACGATTGTTGGGGATGGATAGCGGCTCTTAGCCAGCGAAACGGAAAGCCACTTCCAGAGAAGCCAACTCGCAAGGCCTGGGAAGCCGCTACAGGTGATTTCAAAACAGATAAGCATTCCGAGGTGGTCGTCTTTACGGGGGGCATGGAGTGGTGCACTGCTTCTGAACGCGGTATTTTGAAGTTGAAATTGAATTCTCTGAAGACAGAACGAACCTGCCGCTTTCACCGACGCTTTGGATCGGATCGCTTCCTCAGTCTGACGATGCCTGCCCCGGCGCGGCCGCCGGCTCATCTACGGATACCCGAAAAGCCGGCTGTCCTGCGAGAAAGCTTAGCTCTATGGCTAACGCAACGGGTGCATCGGTGCTTAGGTAGGGAATGGCGGCCGTTCTTTGTAGAGGAAGTGAAATCAAAACGGAAGGTTAAGTCAGAACCGAAGTTTCGAGTGGAATTCTTTGCTGTTGACGGCATTGATTTTGACCGCAGAGTGAGAGTACCCTCGTCCCTACCTCTCCCAAATCAGGACAGTACGAACCGCACGCCGATGGGCTTAGAAGAACTTATTGAATGGCACATGCCTTCAAAAGCCAATCTTGAACAGTCTAACTGCAAGCTCTTCCAGAGGTTATCGTTAGGTCTTTCTAAAACTTATGCAACAGTGGTGCTGGGACCATCGCAGATTCTGTCGCTGCCGGACCTCCCGGGCCGTCCGATGAATGATGGGTGCGCCCTGATGTCAAGAAAGATGGCCAGCCGCATCTGCGATATGCTGGGGATTGCAGGAATAACCCCTAGTGCCTTTCAGGGTCGATTTGCGGGAGCCAAAGGGTTGTGGATGGTTGATCGACATCAATCACAGTTGTCAACTGAGTGTAATGACGACATGTGGATCCAAATCTCCGATTCGCAGCTGAAAATCCATCCGCATCCCCAAACCTGGCAAGAGCCTGTTGACAACGAGCAGTTGACCTTCGAGGTTGTGAAATGGTCCAAGCCGTTGCATCCGGTCGATTTGAATATTCAACTCTTGGCAATCCTCGAGCATGGCGGACACGTGAGGGAATATATCGGCGACCTCACCCGACAAGGCATTCAAGCGGTGTATAAGGAGTTTGTACAGGTACTCCAATCCGATAGTGCTGTCCTTTGTCGCAGTCTTATCCAGAAAGTCCGGCCTTCAGCGGAGGACGGCTCCGGGCTGATGTCACACAAAGTCAAACGCCTGGAGCAATGGACTGCGAATGATGCAGAGTCGATAATACGGCTTACTGAAGCAGGGTTTGGACCTCGAAGCTTCTATCCGCTTCGCAAGCGACTGGGGAAATGTCTCAGAGACCTGCTCACTCGATATGTGGACGAGTTACATATAGAGGTCCCTCTTTCGACTTACGCCTTCTGCATCGCAGATCCTTATGGGATTCTTAAAGAAGATGAGGTGCACTTTGGATTCTCCACCAATTGGCGCGATGGCGAAGGTCAATTTGAAGATACTTTACTAGACGGCATCGAAGTCCTTGTCGGCCGACTTCCAGCCCACCTTCCCTCTGACATTCAGCGCCGGAAGGCTGTGTGGAAGCCAGAACTTCGCCACTTCAAGGATGTCATTGTTTTTCCCAGTGTGGGCATTGTACCGCTAGCGCATATGCTATCAGGCGGCGACTACGATGGCGATGCGCCCTGGATCTGCTGGGATCAGAACATCGTGCGCAACTTTTATAATTCGGACCTCCCAGAAGTCGAATATCCTCTAGAGCACTTTGGTCTCACGGAACATTCCGTGCCCATGAGGAATATTCAATCCATGGACGAGTTCCTCCAAAGCGCGTTCACGTTTAATTTAATTCTATCGAATTTAGGGCGCTGCACTGTAGAGTATGAAAAGATCGCTTATGACGAACCGATCAATTCGCGCAACGCCACGGAGCTTGCTTGTCTCCTAAGTCATCTGGTGGACGGCCGCAAGGGAGGTGTGCATCTGTCTGAGCAAGCCTGGCGGCGATATCGGAAGAGGATCAGTCCTCGGACTCGTGATTTGCCCGCCTACAAGAATCCTGAACGGAGATACAAGAAGACCAATATTATCGACTTTCTTCGCTTTGAGGTGGCTCGCAAAGAGCGCGACAAGGTTCTGGCACAATTGGAGAAGGCCTTCCCTGAGAAGGAGTCCTTCAAGAACCCGGATGAAGACCTGCTAGGAGTATGGTCTCATGCCGAACAGCAAGCCGCACAGGATATGGAGCTAAAAACAGCACTGCAAGGTGTGGCCCAGAAGCTCAAGGCATCGTACGAGCAGTGGAACGAGCACGTGCAGAGGAGCCAAGAGTCCTTCTTCGTCCGTGCTCTAGAGGCTGCTGAAGAAGCTCAAGCCATTGAGCCTCCGCCAGGTGATCATCCTTTAATTCAGGTATGGGAGCACTGTCCGGGCGAATGGCTTCGGTTTCTAGCTTCCAGCACGTATAAGCGGTGGCCCCATTCCGGCTTCGTCATGCACGCCTTTGGTGAGGTTCTCTGTCAGATGAAAGCAAGCACCCTCCCGGCGCGGAGCGTAACGAATGAGATCCTTGCCTGTTATCGTGTCAACCAGAAGGTGATCGGGCAGCTGACGTCTCGGGACCCGATGGATGTAGAGGACACCGGGCCGGACGAGGACGAGTACGAAGGGCACGAAGCCATCGAGGCGATGCACTTCGGGCTGCCGTCAACAGCAGCGGGCGGATACTACGATCCGGACGATGGGATGTCGGTGGAATGAGCCAGGTTTCACCTTCGGATAGCATGGTTAAATGGCTGGAATTCAATTCATGCCTCTGTGGGGTACATTCTTGGGTATCGTGCTGCATGCATATTCCTCCCTTGACTGAAATTTTGGATTCTTGGATAACTTAAGAGTTCTCTAATTATCCCCAAGAAATGGATATAGGATCGGGCATTGGGTCAACTAGTTTGAACTATGAACAGCAACAACGATCTACGAGACTTCCTGTTTGCCTTGGGCTGACCAGTTGGTCATGGGGTTTGGTTGGCTGAGTCGTGAAGGATCATGAATCATGTGGAAGTGGAAGTGGACTTGATTCAGACCAGGCAGGCGGTGGGACGGTGCATTACTGGGAGGCGGATGAAATCACATGTCAAGTCGTACAATCTGACTAAATCGGAAGCTTCCACGAGCTGCTGCTTTCGCTCATCGACTCTCACTCTCGCTCGCGCTCATTGACTCTCGACTAATTATCGGCTGTTCCTCCCGGGCGAAACAACGACCAGGATTGACCTGAGACTGCTCGCCTGGCAATACTTGTGACTCGGGTCAGCATGTGAAGGGGGGCGTGGAGAGACCCAGCAACTTCATAACCAATCCAGCAAGTCTTTGGCCTGAGGCAAATGGGATACGATCCTCGACACCTTAACATCCCACCATAAGGCATGGTAGGGTCATTTTGATGTCGTAGTGCCGTGTAGAGTGGTATAATAATATAAGAGCCAGAGTAAGAATTAATAGACCAGGTTAGAAGGGAGAGAGAGAGAGAGAGAAGGAGAGAGTAAGCAAGTGAGAGAAGTGACTGCCGAACCCACGCCCAGTCAGTCTCGGCTCTTCTTTGGCCCGCCGCGCCTACGTTTTTCTCTTGCTTTGCACGTGAAAGTCCCTCGACTCTTGCTGCAATTCATCCATCCTTCCATCCTTCCACCAACCAAGCAGGCAATCGATCAATCAACTGCTCACTCTCACGCTCAATCAAGCTTCGCTCGGGATCTCCAACCTCTCTCAACTGCCTTTCTCATTATCCGCCGCTCTCCGCTTGCTCACCTCTCCCCCTCTCTCGCCCCTCCCCTCTCTCTCCGAAGAATCAGATAGTCTCAAAACGCGCCTAAGTCTAACCGATCCTCCGGCTCTTACTTTCCACGCCATCTCGACTCATTTACCCGTTCTGGTTGTCGGAGGACAGCCATGGACCACCGTCCACCCGACGGCATCTCTGGTCCTGGTCCGAAGGCGTCCATTTCTGCTGTTCGAGACGCCACGACGCCGACCACCACCACGACGTCAGCCCATCCTTCTCCTTTAATAGTCTCTGCCACCTCGACTGCCTCTTACACGGCGCCTACTCCCGCCCCTTATCCTTCTTTCCATCACCATGTCCCTACCCCGTCGTCTATGATGGATGTCGACCACACTACCGCGGCCGAGGATCGCTCGCGTCGAGCCACCAGTGTCCTGTCCATGGATGACATCGAAGCTGCCCAAGCCTTGGAGGGCCTGCGTACCGGTATACACCCCACTCCTCCTCCTCCTCCTCCTCTTCTTCTTCTTCTTCTTCTTCTTCTCAATTATAAGGACATACCACCCTCCCGTGTCTGCTTGCTGTGTTTTTCTCGCACCACCCGTCCCTACTTCTATGCTATCCTGTGGAATAAGTTTTGATAATGGGTGTGTGTATTGGCAATCTAGAATACGGTCAATCGCCTCGAACCTCGCAGGCATCCGAACCAAAAGCCCAGCCGGAACCCCTCCTCTCCCTTCTGACGTCAACTCACCCCCTCATCTCCTCGGCCATTAACGGGTCTGTTTCGGCCTATGCGAACTCCAAGTCATACTCCCCCCGCTTCAAGTCCGGGGCTGAGTTCATCGAGCGGAATATCGGGTCGCCGGTTGCCAAGTCCGTCGGGACGGTTGGTCGAAAGACCGGGGTAGAGAGCGGACTGCGGTGGGCGTTGCAGCGTCGGGCGTCGTCGTCAGCCAACTCCGGGCGGTCGAAGCGCCGCAAAGTGAACGGCCGCGAAGAAGTGCCACAGCAATCGGCGGGCGCGGACGTGGACGTCGAAAAAGGCTCCGTGGATGGTAGCATGGAAGGTGGTATGGAGGGTCCTCCGCCTTACGATGATCAGAAATCCCCCAGCTATGATGAGATTGGCCGGGACAGCCCCTCGAGACAGAATCCGACTTGGCAGAGCCGGTTGATGATCTCGACGTCTGGATTGGGGGTGGCGATGAGTGAGGAGTCGCTGCGTAGCCTGCAGTACTGTTTAACGTGGCTGCGGTGGGCGAACGGTCGGTTGGGCAAGGCTATCCTGGCGCTGCAGGGCGCGCTGAAGGAGTGGGATAACTCGGGCCAGTCCGCCCAGGGTGAGCAGGGTGGGTCTTCACAGGCAAATCTCTTGACACAGCGGATACAGGCTGTCAGGGAGGATGTTCTGTCCACCTTGAAGAGGGTCGTGGATATCGTCTCCAAGTACGCTGGCGGAGCGTTGCCGGAGAATGCCCGCAACCTCGTCCGGCGTCATCTCACCTCCCTTCCCCATCGGTTCCAGATCGCTTCGACTTCCAACCCCCCCCCTGATTCAGCGGCGGCTGCATCCGACACGACGGTCAGCGCTCACCGGATCTTGGTTCTCGCTCAGGAAGGGCTTGACATGATGGCCCAGGTTAGTGGCGTGGTCAATGACACTCTTGTCAGCGCAGAGCACTGGTGCCAAAGACTGGGACGAAAGCGCCCCGAGAGAAAGAATGCCGCGGAGGTCAAGCAGCAGCCGGAAGAGCAGAAGGAGACCTATCCGGCTGATATCAAGCGACCTATTCATGAGTCTTCGCCTCACGATGTGCCTATGTCAGGCATGGAAAAGGTTTGAAAGGCTCACCTATTGATCAAGGTCGATTCAGGTTGTACCCAGTGGAAACCTGGGCGAGCCTGCAATTGACAGTGCTATATGAGGCAGTAAGCCTGCAGATTCAAATTGACGCCTTGAAACAGTCATTGTCTGCTGACGAGCGGACCATCACCTTCCTTGTTTGCATGTTCCTTTTGTCATGGTCGACCTTCTTGCATGTGCCGGCTGTCATTTTCGCTGCGACTGACCTTCCTTCCATGATAGCGATTTCCTTTCCGGAATGAATGAAGTATGGCGTTTTCCCCTCAATGATTTGACTTGCTCATTGCACCTGCATTCTTGCGCTGTTCGCAAACAGAGACCGACCTACTTACATTCGTTTGGGTTCTTGTCGGTCTGTCGGATTATCGCCTTCGCTCACTATTCGTGTTCTTGTTTTGACCAAGGAAGAGGTTCGTGTGCGTGGCTAGCGATGCTCGATAATCCTCAATACCGTTGTATGAAAGCAGAAAAAGTTTTCCCTTTCTCTTCCCTTTGAGACCGTGACACTCACCCATCGAGATCATGTGATGAGCTCTCCGAACGACCTCCCATCCATCTCGATCTCCCGTATGAGGTTCCGATCCCCGCCGGCCTGCGAACAATACAGCCTCACCGTGACACTGCTCGTTGCTTTGTGTTGATGTGCCTGCGCCAGAGCGGCCAGTCGCTGCCTTCTCCGTTCCTCCATGATGAAAGCCCACCTGATGCGGACGTCCTCGACACGTCTCTGCCGACTCAGCCCCCGTTTTCTCCATAGCGCCACCTGCGACGCCATGAGCTGGTTTGCATCGTCGGGCCAGCCGCCCAGTTTCTGGGTCCGAGGCAAGGCCGCCATTGGGCTTGGAGCTGGGTAGTAAGACTGGTAGGGGTTGGAGGAGTAATATCCTTCCCCCGCCGTCCCGCCGCCATCCTTTTCCTTGATGATCCCATAGCGCCAATCCATCATGCCAGACTCGAGCTCTTCCAAGTCTACCAAACCCGAATCTACCGCATGCAACCGCCCCTTCCACCCCTTCAATTCATAGACATCCTTCCCATCCCGACAGATACTCAATATCCCCCGCCGCAGCATGTAGTGCACATGGATATGGTAGTCCGCGCGGTACTTCGCGAAAGCGACATCCTCGTTGTCACTTCCGTCGTCTGAGGCGGTATCCCCCCCCTCCAGGAGATATCGTGCCACTAGCGCTTCATACAGATGCCCCTGTGCGGAACTCGAGGAGGGTGGTGTGGACGGCGGGGTGAGCTCCGCGTAGCTGATGTACCGATGCTGCTGCTCCGCCCGGATTTCCGGGGTCAGGCAGCGGGCATGCCGACCAGGATGCCCGGCATCATCGGCTTCCAGGTCCATCTCATCGTCGTTTTCTGAACAAGTGGCGGGAGGCATCTCGTGCGGCGCAAGATCGGGATCCGCTTGCGATGACTCGAACGGCACGGTGCGGGCTGGATCGTACCGGCCGGAGGCTGTGTCGGCGTGGAAGGTGGATTTGGGGAGGCGGAGGATGGTGGTGCAGCCGGTGCAGGTTAGGGCTTCGTGGAGCGCGGTTGCCTGGGTGGTGTTAGCGAAAGAAAGAATTGGAGAATTGGGGGAAGGAGGAAGAGAGGGAGTGTACCATTTCTTCGTCTATCGTTGATGTCGATGTTGGTGTTGATGTTGGTGTTGGTGCTGGTGCTGATGTTGTGGGAATAGCCGTCGCGCCAAACATGCTTGCCGCCGGTGGAGGCGATGGTGATGGTGTCGGCGGGAGCATCTTTGGTGGATTGGTTGTGGTTGTGGTTGTGGTTGTGGTTGTGGTTGTGGTTGTTTAGACAATTAAAGGGCATATGCTCTATCATAAGCATAGCTTGAAGTATAATTGAAACAATCACCGCGCTCCCCGAATCCAATACTCTAAACTGTCGATAGTGGTGTATATGTATACGCATTTAAGTTGCAGAAAATCCTTGCCCTAGGTAGTAAGTAGTGTGTGTGGTGTAGTGTAGTGTCGTGTATGGAAAACCGAGTTGGAGTCCGAGTCGGAGTTCTTTCTGTCTTTCTCCTTCAAGCCAACTTCTCAAATCCTGAGTATTTTTTTTTGGATGGGGGCTGGCTGACTGACTCCGAGTTGGCTCCTTTTTCCGGTGGTTCGTGGTGTTTGGTTAGTGTTGGTATTGGTGTATTGAACAAGAAAGGTTTATTTGTGTTGTTGGGGATTCTTTGTTGAGGGCGCGTTTCATTTGGGGGTGGTATATTGTTCTAGTTTGTTTCTTTGATGGGCTGAATAGTGGATGTTTAGGCTCTTGGGGGGAGGGAGGGGTTCTTTCTTTGTGCTTGTAGATTTAGATGTGCTGTGAATGTGAATAGGATAGTAAGTTGATTCTTGATCTGGTGTTCGTGTAGTCGGTATAGTTTTGTATACTCTAACAAAGAAAATAGAAGGACAAGATATAAATGAAACTTGAAAACAGGGAAGCAGAAAACTAAAGAACAGGAGCGAGCAAGCAAGCTATAAGCTATTATTATCTTTGACTACTAACGGTCAACTATGCTCAGCAACATCATCATCATCATAACCATAGCCAGGTTGAGTAGTCTTACACTTGCTACTGTTGGTGTTGGTGTCAGTCGAATCGGAAAAAGTCATGTCATCCTCCATTCTCAGCTGCGAGGATATCGTCATTGGGGGTTTCCTTGATTGTCAATTTGTTAGTTGGAACCGGGAGCTGGATGCTGTCGGCTGGATCCGGGGGAAAGTCACGCTGGGGTCGGGGGACTGCAGTAGGGGGGCATGTGACTTCATTAATGGGGATGTGACGGGGTCACTGGGTTGAGGAATGTTGACTATTTTATCTGGTGGTCTGGTGGTTTGCTAGGGGTTAGTTAGCTGGGGGTGGATGGGTAAGCTAGGCTGAGCTGAGCGGAGCGGAGAGGTAGCTGCTTAGATTTGAGCGTATCTGACTGTAGGGCTCAGCTCAGTTGGAGTGGTGGAGTTTCTTGGGGCTTTGAAGATAAGATCTTGATCGATGATTTGGACAGGTTGGTGGATTGCACGTGCGAGGGAGGGGTCGCTGACTATTGAGGTAGAAAATGGGGTTTATGTACAGCACTGTACTTAGCATCCTGTATACTTGATAATTTCTTGCCGGGATGAGATGTGTATTGCTAGTGTGTATGTTGTACAGTCCAACTTACTAGGTAGAGGGGAAGTAAATGTATTCTGGTGGACTACTGTAATAGCCGGCTGGGTAGCTACTTCCAGGGCCCAGTGAATTGATATTTTGTCAAGCTCTTCCGGTCAATTTTGATCCCCAGGGTATCTCCTCAGTTGTGATCATTACCTTCCTCAGGCTCTTCATTAAGATGACTTTTGTCAATGCTTAGAGTAAGTGACTACTATCTTGGACAATTGAGACTGGGGCTGAAACCATAACACCCACTACACCTAGGTGCTCCACTACCAAAACAGCGCGCAAAGCCATTGTTCTCTTTCAGCCCTATTGATCGATCCCCTTGGTCAAGGCCCTCGCATTCAACTGCTACCTGGTGTTTCCACAAGATACGTGAGAGTAGTGTAGAACTGCCGTACACGATGATATATCCCTCCTCGGAAAAGCAACTATGTTACCATCAACACCTACCATATCCCCTCAAACAACCCAACCACAACCTACCATCCACGAAAAAAACAATGCCCCCCTCCCCAGCATCATCACCAACCTCATCCTTCCCCCTCCTCCCAACCATCAGCCTCATCCTCTCCTGCCTCTTCTGCCTCTACCGCCTCCAAGGCCCCATCCGCACCTACTGTCGTCGTATCCAAGCCCGACACAGCGGACGCAATGATTACGCTCGTCTCACCACAGTGGAGGATGGGTATGCCTACTGCCCTGCATCCCTCTCAGGGGTCTGCGCCCGATTCCAGGCTTTCGTTACTAGATCCCTCCCGCCCTATCGGAGTCATTTTCACTGCTTGGTCAAGAACTAACACACTCTCCAGCCCATCATCACCACTATCACCCAACCTACCCCTCCCAGAACACCCCACGCCTGGCAGAGCAGACGATCTCCCTACCACCACCACCACCACCCCGCTGAGCAAATACTTCGATCCGCAGACCGCCCTCCTCTACGTCGATGTCTTCGAGCGGCGGACGATTCCGCCTACCTTGCGGGACCTGGAGGTGGAGGTGGGATTAGGGCAGCAGCAGCGGGGCGATGGCGATAGTGATAGCGACGCCCCGGGTGGGGTCCTTGGGGCATGGTTTGAGCGGTTGGTGGAGGGCGTGGTGCGGTATTATGTGGGATTGGTTTGGGAGAAGGAATGACTCTGAATCGTGGAGATTTTGTTCCGGGGAATGGACTGTGCGGCACAATAATTAATCAGTTGAAGGGAAGGTGGACTCGAGGCAGGAAGAGGCCCGCCAGAAGATCAAGCGGTGTGAACGAGGTGGATCAGATCTGATGAGTCGCGTTTTGGGGGGTACTTATCTAGGAGGAAAGGGGTTGTGCGGCCTGGAAACTTTTTTTCCCCATGCGGGATGCAAGCCACTGATGCATGGGTTCGTGGCGGGATGGTGTGATGAGTACTCCGTGGTGGCCGGAGGGGCAGAGGCGCTTTTGAGCGGTGAGATGGTTCTTACGATACCTTGGAGATGAGTTTTTGTGAAAAAGGATGGTTGATTTGTCTGTTGTGGATTGTCTAATAACTCTTTGCCAGGTTGTTATTCACATCCAAACCTATAAGCATGGCAATGTAAAAAGGTATATATGTTAGTAAAAAGCCTACGGAGCACAGTACCCCCCGTCCACCACAAGATCAGCCCCCGTCGTGTAGCTGGACGCATCCGAGGCCAAATACAGGTAGGCGCCCTTCAACTCCTCTGGCAGACCCTCCCGGCCCATGGGAATCTTGTCCCGCCAGATCTTCTTGGTCTCGTCCGCGACGAAGTTGGACAGCTCCGTCACGATGTAGCCGGGGGAAACGCTGTTAGCCCGAGCGAACCTGACCCATTCCACAGCTAAAGACTTGCCTGTAGGCTGGTCAGTATCTACGTGCCGAAAGATATGTTGAAGAGCACCTACAGAGATGAATGACCCCCGCTTTGGCAGCGTTGTACGCCGCCTGCATCTGCGGGATGTTGACAATATGCCCGCTCATCGAGGCGGTGGCCACAAAGCTCCCATACGAGAAATTCTCCAGCGGGTTGCCGAACAGATCCGTGCCCTGTTCCTTCTGTCGGCGCCAGTGGCTGGCGGCCGCCCGGGCACAGTAGAAGGTGCCAGTCAGGTCGGCGCCCACCACGTGCTCGTAGTGCTCCAATGGAGCATCGACCATCGGACCCTTCACCCAGGCGACCCCGGCGTTGGCGATGAAGACGTCCAGTCGGCCGTTAAAGTCCTTCACCACCTGGTCGACCGCTTCTTGTACGGCTTGGGGGTCGTTGATTTCAACTTTGTACGCCTTGGCTGGTGGAATGTTAGCTTGTTACGTATGGACTGACTGTCTCTGAAATGGGGGAGAGCTCACTCTGGACTCCATATTTTTCAGCAATCTTCGCCGCGCTCTCCGGGGCCTTGTCGTTGGTGTTCCACCAGATGGCGACGTTGGCTCCAGCCTCGGCTAAGCCGGTGGCCACGGCGAAACCAATGCCGGCCGTAGCACCTGTGACGATGGCGGTTTTACCCTTGAGGGAGAACATCTGCATCAGGCTGGGGTGTGCGGGAGGGGTGGTGTTCTGGTGGACGAAGAGTCCATTCTGGACGGGGTTGGCTGCCATTCTGGGTAACTCTTGAGTGCAAAGAAAGAGGTCTAAAGAGATATAGGAGAGAGAAATACAGATGAAGGTATGGAAGAATAATGAGAGAAGAGCACGAGGATGGGGAGAATAAAAGCTGGGGTGCAGCCATGGCGGACGGGACGGCGATTTATATGCTGGGACCGTAGCTTAGATACATCTGCACCATTAGCACAACCAGCCGCAAGTTGAACGAAGCTAGACAGAGGAGACACACAGTCCCCATAGTGACGGGTATGGCGGACTGGGACATCGTTTGGTTAGTGTGGGAGATTCACCTCACCGTCAACCTAAAGTGGGGGGGGGGCATGTATACAACAGATTCACAGCTAAGTTACTATGCACCGTACTGTGCTCAATAGATAAAATCCGCCGGAAGGTAGTTGATGACCGGCTCCGGCGGACTTCATATTCATTCTATTGGATATTAGTGTCAGAGCCCACCGGAGTTTACCCGTGGCCTTATGGGAGAATCATACAATTGCGCATGTGTGAGTTCGAAAGTGCATCAATTGATGCTCCATCCAGGATCCATAATGGATGTTAGTCGTTGGCGGGGAGCGGGGAAGAAAGGTTTCTCCGCGTCCACCCTCCGATTCCCGACAGTCACGGCGGCCCGATTTCCAAATCAGGAAAGTCAAGTCAACCGCCGCGAACAACAACATCCACAACTGTGGATGCTCTGGACTAAGTGAACTACCGCTCATTCCTGTAACTATTTATCACTCACTCACTCACTCAGACCAGACCAGACCAGACCAGAACAGAGTGTCATTTCCCTTATCTCCCCATGTCTCACATCGCAATGGGAAGCTCACATAGCTAGTCGAACCATGACTTTCCCCGCAGTCGATCCGCAACGAGGATGTATTCCTCCTACCGGGCTCATGCCAACTGCATCATCAAATCTTCGTACAAAAGCCAAACAGAAGAAGGACTGACTTATAATATCATGTTACATGCAACTAAGCTACCTGATTGAATATCCCTGCAGCACTTACGCCGCAACCATCGTGCAACTAACTCGCAGCAGCAAGGTACCCGGAACTGCGGCAGTTGCCATTTCCCCAATGCATCCTCACTCACGCAGCAATTGGAATACTCAATAAACAATAGATAGCTGAAATGCGCTCTACGAATAACTTGCTCTGTCGAGCCCGCATGTTTGCCTGGGACGGACAAAGACCAACCGTTGCTACATTCCTCACGCTCCCGACTGTTATGCTCTACACATTCTTCTGCCTCATCGGGGTGACCATAATAAACGAATCCTTCCTGCCTCCCAATTCTGTCCCCTCCTTATCCAAACATGTTCCCTGTTTGTTCCTCCGTCCTGTGTTGGCGTGTTCGTGGCCTGCAGTCCCTTGTCTTGCCGGGTGCTTAACGCTGCTCAACGTCCTCCCAGCATCATCCTCGGCCCTGACTGGATCCAAAGTCATCGATACGAGAAGAGTTGGATCAATAACACCAGCTTCGGTCTTTTGATGGGTGAACGCGCCTTGAACGCTCAGAAAACCAGCGTCGGTCGGGTTTAGTCAGGAAATCGCAGGAAGGAAACAGCCATGCCGCCACTGACCACCGTGATCGCGATAGCCGTCAGCTGTTCGGTTCTTTTCATCGTCGCGGCAGTCGTGGGGACAGTCATCTGGGTCAGAGTACGCCATGACCGCTTGTCGCTGGCGGTGGCAAACGCCAAACACGGTCAATTTGGCTTGCAGCACTACCAGGCTGAGACGTTGACTGAACTCTCCCGCGAAGAAGGCACAGCGCTGAGACAATATGGCCAACTTCCGTATGGAAAGCCATCTGAATGGGGAGTGCTATCATCTCGGGAAAGTCTGCCTACATCTCCAGGAGACTCGGAGTCATCATCCCCTCTAAATGAAAAGGGCCGCGACTTGCGTCGGCCGATGTCCCGTTCTTTGTCTACGCGTTCTGCGCGAGTGTCGAAGGGCTTCCTTGGGCCGCCACGCCTCAGCTCTCTCTCACCGCTGACAGAAAGATCCGAAAAGCGCTATTCATCATCGCCGGTGGTCTCCTGTATGAACGAGCGTCTGTCGAGCTCCGCCGTTGATGGCGCGGTTGAATTGCCCACAGAGACGACACCGAGGCACACCCCCGAGAGAGAAGAGGAATACCCGCGAGCTGAGATCACTATGCGCCCAATCTCCGGAGCATGGCCCTTGATGCACTCGCGGGAACGTTCTGGAAGCCTGTATCCGGTCTTGGAGGATAACCCAGAAGGGATCAACCCCCCCTTTGCCCGAGTCCGGGGCGGAAGCATCACCGCTCAAACGGCTGGGACAATGCCAGAGCAGCCTGTACCTCCCCCACCATGTGCCTATCCGCCTAATCGCTTCCGCTTGTCAAAGAACGACTCTGTTTGTTTCTCCTCGTTGAGTCTGGAGACAGCCGACAGCTCCATACTCGACGAGAGCCGAAGGACATCAACCAATATCGAGAGCGACTTCACTTCGCCAGCACTGCCGCCTTGCCCTACTTTTACGCCGTTCGATGCCAATGATGTTGGAAGACTGGAATTTGACAGACGTAGCTTTGTGACACCCAGCTCAGTCGTACCAGCGCCTTTTGTGTTCCCTCCTACATCCTCTGCTGTTTGGGAGGGTCAGAGGATTGAGCCAGGTCGTACTTCACCCCGTCGCAGCTTGACGGCCCGCAGCCCTACCTCGATGGAACGGAGCAGTCCGCCGCCACGACGCAGTGAGTCTGTCTCCGTGGGACATTCTCGACGTGATTCGGCTACGGGCGTCAAGCCGCTGGATCTGAGTAGTACGCCTATTCTCAACGCCGCTGGTCGCAATGCGGCCTTACTCCCGCACTTCAGCCAAATGCAGAGAATCCCGCCGCACACCGAACAACGAAGAAGCCACGATCCTTTCTACGCTGGGCCTCATAATGCCGCGAACACCAACGCACAGAGTGCCTCTAGAAATAGACTGATTTGTTCAGCCACACCGGAGACTTCTGCGCAGTCCCTAGCTGGTAATGTGAAGCCACCAATGGCATCTGCGATGAGAAGCGGAAACAGTCTACGAAAGGGCCATCGGCGTCAAAACTGCGTCCGGATCTCGATCCATCCCCCCGTCACCTTCAATGGACCTGTATTCTCTCCGACTGCCGAGGAGCCAGAAGACGTTGAGGAAATCGACTTTCGCCGTTCCCAGGTATCCGACCTGTCCGCATCCAATGCGTCGCTTCCCCCAAATGTATCTAGTCCCTCGGCGGGCAACAGTACTCGACAATCTCAGCAACATGATCGCCTGCGCGTGATCGATGTCTCGGAAGATCGTCGAGCCTCCCGCAGAGGCACACCAAAGAGGCGAAAGCATACGCGAGGCGACTCAACGGATAGCATGATGAGCATGATCAATGCGGAAAATTCGTTGCCGGAGATTGTCACTACCCTGCCCATTCCGAAGATTGAGACCAGTCTGCTCAATACGCCGTCTCCCGAGGCGAACAGTCCTGTTTGGATGATGTCCAGCCATACCAGTTCGCCCTCAACATATGAGAACATGTCAAGCCCAGGCAGTCCGCGTCGGTCGGCCGTCAAGGGCCCGCGCAATCAGCCGGGCCGGCAAATGCGCAACAATTACCGCCCTTCACAGCCATTGGAGGACAATGCAAAATTGTCGCTACGAACCACCTCTCGCCCTCCTCACATGCGCAAAGATCCGGCACGGAAGCCATCTGACTCAGGCCAGCGACCGAAGACTGATGCTCAACAGACAGCATCGCCGCGGAACCAAGATTCGGCCGGCCAAGCTCCGCCAGGCGCCCCGAGGATGAATCATCCAGCTATCGCAAAACAGCAGCCACCTCAATCCCTACGACAACACCGCCCTCAACATCGGCCCCCGCCAGCCGGAAGTAATCCCAAGTCTCCGATTATGCAAACCGGGGGCATTGTCTCTATCTGGGAAGATGGGCCGCTGGAGCTGAAAGCACCGCCTAAACCTACAGTATCGTTGGTCAAGGAAGCAACCGAACTCCCCGACGAGCCTGCTGCAAAGCGTCTCGAAAGGACGAAAAGCCAAGGGCCTGATGATCGATCACCGACCAAGTCGAGCAACAACCGATCCAAACCAGAACCCAAGACTCCGACGAGACGGGCCGTAGGCCTGGGCATTGGCGCTGCCACCCCGGCTAGCTTGTATGACGGCGACGGATTCTTGAAAGAGTAGACGCTCCAATCGATGCATTGCTTGGAGACTCAAAATCATGTTCGGTTGTTTGTTTCGAGGTTTGGTTCCGGGTTTTGCTTAGCGTGCGGGCGTTTCTGTTGATATCCACTGTCCGAGTAGTAGTCGTAGGTAGAATAACTATGTAATACGAGCTGAGCAGCACAGCCAATGCAAAGACGGGGGAGTGGGCCTTGTAATCTTATCATTTAGAGATTAATTCATAACTTAACTATCTGTATAGAGGCCTGAAGCATCGTGCAACTAATCCGTTCTCCTCCACTTGGTCTCCTCACTCTCGGCCTCCCCATTCATATCACCATCCTGCTGCGCTACCGCACCGTCCTCCTCCCTCTGCCTTACCGTTCCCGCCCCGGGACCCAGAGACAACGTCGGCTCCTGCCCGCCCCCGATCCAATTCCCCTCCTCATCGAAAAACTCATGCATGTTCTCCGCCGTGATCCACCCGGAACTCCCATCCATCGGGGGCGGCAACCCGCCCGCCCCATTCCCCATGGCAATCAACCCGGACTGCAACAATGCACTGTCTTCTTGTCCTTCGTCTTCGTCCTCATCCTCATCCTCATCCCCGGGCTCCACCGGATCCGGATGCAGGTTCGAGCACGCCGACACCGCAGCATACAGCGCCTGCGTGGGAGTTTCCGTTTCCGTTTCCGTTTCGGTCTCCGCACCGAGCCCTTCACTCTTCCCTTGTTGCGGCTGTGAAGGCGGCACCAGCGTCAGAATCGTGCATTCTTCCTCGTCGTCCTCGGCGGAGAATCCCCCGGTGGAGGGGGTGGCGATCTGCATGTAGAGGCCTTGTTGCTGTTGCTGTTCTTCTGCCTGGCTGGCAGCGGTTGCGGAGGAAGCTGGGAGACGCAGGCGTTGGATGGCGTGCAGCGAGATGGAGGGGTAGGGGATTGAGAGCCCTGCGTTTGTGGTGGGGGAGTAGAGAAGGAATTTTCTGGAAGCTTTGGTTAGCCTTTTTGTCCCGATTGAGGGGCTTGGGAGCGCCGTACTCGGAGGTAACCCAGACGGTGATGTTGGATAGCGTTAGTTCCTTGGGGGTTGCATCCTCTTCGCTTGTAGCGGTGGTGCTGGTGCTGGTGCTGGTGCTGATGACGGCGCCATTCGTGGTGCTGCTGGCTTGCAAGGCGCGCAGGGTCGGGTTGGCGAGGAGGTCGCGCTCGAGGACCACGAGGTGGCAGTCCCGGCGGTGGTAGTAGAGGATGGCTGGCCCCGTGTGGAAGGAGCTGGGCGTGCGGGATTGGTGCTCCGCGAGCGGGGTGAAGGTTGTTGTGTCGGGGGCGGTGGTTAGGGGTTCCATTTTAATTCTGGGGGTGTTCGTAACGAGGTGAGGGAGGGGCGTTGTTTGGAGAGTTGGGTGTGAGGTTGGGGAGGGGCAGATAATGAGAAGAGAAATTGTGATGGATGGAGTTTGGGTCGGCGGGGAGCTTGCCGTCGTAACGTAACTAACTAGGCTGCGGACCGCGGGAGCTCCGGTTCGGGAGGTCGTCTCCTATACTTTTGCTGCGTTGTTGCAGGAGTCTAGAGATCTACGGTTCTTTATTGCTCGGGTGATCAGTCTGTGCTGTTTAATCTGGTATAGCTGTGATAGCTTTTGCAACTTCGATGGTCTGGATTGGGATGCGTAGCTTGATAGTAGCTTGAATTGTTTGTCTCTGTCTACTGCCTTCTATAACAATCCTGCACTGTCCCCAACGCTGAGGGGCCCTAGTCATTCTTTCACTCTGTCTCACGCTCATGCAAGACGCGCCGCATATAGCATAGTTCGGGCTGTTTACTTGGAGCCTCAGTTCCAAACACGACGGCGTGTTGATGCGAGCCTTCGTCGTCTGGTCTGACGTGCCGCGGTCCAGCAAGGGGCCCTCTCTGCATGGCCCATCTTGCGCGTGCAGCACCCATGGCACACCGACAGCGCCAATTCGAAGCGCGTATCTTCTAGGAGATAGAGTCCTTGTCACATGAGCATGATAAGCTCATGGCCTAACAAGCCCAAGCCCAAGCCCAAGCCCAAGCCCAAGCAGATGTTGCCCCCGCTCATTTCACATTCAACCCCCCAAACGCCCTATCCAGCTCCTCTCCCTCATCGCGCGGCACCATCGATGGCAGAGCAGCCGCTCCCGGATCCGCAGCGGATAGGCTGTCCAGCAAGCTCGACTGCGCTGCTCCTCCCTCGGGTGACCCCGACCCGGCGGCCGCGTTCATCGGCCGCAGGAGCTTCTCCTCCCGGTCCAGCCATCCGGGCGCCACGCGTCGCTTCTCCGCCAGGTCGCGCTGCACGATGGACTCCTCCCAGTCGCGGATGGCTTTCTCGGCGTCGCGGCGGGTCTTGTTCAGGTGCTGCTCTAGGGCGTTGCACGCGGCGAGGATCTCCTCCGGGGAGGCGGCGTGCTCCCCGCTCGAAGAGACTACGTAGCGGGGTCTGAGGTCCGGGTTACTGGGGTCGACGGTGACGGAGGGCGGGATGGTGGATGGGACCGATTTGTAGGTGTAGGGGAGGGTGACGGTGGTGGGGAGGTTGATGAAAGGGGAGACGGTCAAGGGGACTTGGGCTAGGAGGGGATGAGGGCCTGGATTGAGGTCAGAATGCTGATAGAGAATGGATGGGAGGGAGGAGGGGATGGGATACTTACGGTAGGATTCGTACATGCTGCGGATACTGGGATTTGTGTGTATGGTCAGTGTTGTCAGTGAGCAGGAGGGACTTCCATCGATGTGTCAATGTAGGAGTTGTAGTTATAATCGAATGCTTGAGGAAAGTATAGTTACAGTCGACGGTAATTGGCGCTGGAGAGTTCCCCGCCTTAATTACAGTTACAGGGACCGTCACGGGGCTGTAATCCCCGACCACGGCTGATTCTTACCTGTCAATACCGTTTGTTGGGTCTGACGTCGAATTGCAGCCAAATGAATCTACTCTGTAATGCCAACGCCAATGTTGCTAATGTGATTATCTATCATCATCTCCATCAGCCATCGCCGCTCATCAGCTTGCAGAGAAGCACACGAGAGCGCAGAACCCGGTTTCAGCTCGTCTGACAGCCTTCCCTCCTTGCCTTCCCTGACCTTAGAATAAATTGTATACCTAGCCCCTCTGCTTATCTACAAGTGTTAGTTATTCGCAACGTGTGGCACTGTGGCATTGTCTCAGTTTCTCTGTCTAGTTAAACCCCAAGTGACCCCAAGTGACCCCCAAGTGACCCTCTTTCTCCTATTATTCTCGCGCAGTGTCTCTGTCTGCATTGGCCAGGCCTTCAATTCTCCCCCCCATCTGATATAAGATCGTTAAATCCTTAAAAATCTTCTATTTTAGTGCCCACTGCCCACTGCCCACTGCCCACTTAACTCTTCCCCCTCTTCTACTCCTCCCTCCTTCCCGATCCTGTTATCGGATTCCTCTTCTCCACCTTTCTGATTTCTCTTCGCCCCGAGATCATCCCTGCAGCTCGATCTTGCCACAAGTTCTTCCTTTTGCTCTGCTCTTTCGCTGGTGTCTCGGCTGGGAAATCCCCCATCCCGCGCTTAACCCCCCACCAACACCACCACCACCACCACCAACAACTGGCCCGCCGCGCCTGTCGCCCTTCCCCTTTTCCCCTCCTCTTCCTTCATCCTCCGGGGCACAACGTGCTTGCGATTCATTCTGATCCAAGACTCAACCTCCTTTGTGCCTCGAATCCTTAATCACCATGGATCGCAACATCGCGCGTGCGGTGACGGAGAAGAAGCCGGTCCCGGAGATCGACTTCACATTACATGTCATGGAAGATGGCACTCAGGTGTCCACCCTCGAGCGAGTCATCAAAGGTTTGCCACGTTCCCTGCCTCAGGATACCGAGTCACTTACGAAAAGAACCCCGCTAATCGCATGGCAACCATCCAGAGGTGCAAGCGCCGGCGTTGAACACCCCGTCGGACGATCAGTTCTGGTCTCCTGAAGACCCCTCCAAGCCCAACCTCCAGTTCCTCAAACAGCACTTCTACCGGGAAGGTCGTCTTACGGAAGACCAAGCGCTATGGATCATACAGGCTGGAACGCAGCTGCTCAGAGCCGAGCCCAACCTACTGGAGATGGATGCGCCCATCACCGTGTGCGGTGATGTCCACGGTCAATATTACGATCTAATGAAGCTCTTCGAAGTCGGTGGCGACCCATCCGAGACCCGCTATCTCTTCCTCGGTGATTATGTGGACCGAGGTTACTTCAGTATCGAAGTGAGTATCCGTCCTGCCACGGTTTCTAGCTGCTTCGGTCTGACCCTCCGCAATAGTGTGTGCTCTACCTGTGGGCCTTGAAGATCTGGTACCCCAACACTCTCTGGTTACTGCGGGGTAATCACGAATGTAGACATTTGACGGACTACTTCACCTTCAAGCTGGAGTGTAAGCACAAGTACAGCGAGCGCATTTACGAGGCATGCATTGAATCTTTCTGCTCGCTGCCGCTGGCGGCGGTCATGAACAAGCAATTCTTGTGTATTCATGGTGGCTTGAGCCCTGAATTGCATACTTTGGAGGATATCAAGGCGGTATGTTTTCCTCCTGGCCATTCAGCGAGGCGTTGGCTGATACATTCTCCTCAGATCGACCGTTTCAGAGAACCTCCGACCCACGGGCTGATGTGTGATATTCTTTGGGCCGATCCCTTGGAAGAATTCGGACAGGAGAAGACCGGAGACTACTTCATTCACAACAGCGTGCGAGGCTGCTCGTACTTCTTCTCCTATCCTGCGGCTTGCGCTTTCCTCGAAAAGAACAACCTTCTTTCCATCATTCGCGCGCACGAAGCTCAAGATGCCGGCTATCGCATGTACCGCAAGACCCGGACAACGGGCTTCCCCAGTGTCATGACTATTTTCAGCGCGCCCAACTACCTGGACGTCTACAACAACAAAGCCGCTGTGTTGAAGTATGAGAACAACGTCATGAACATCCGTCAGTTCAACTGCACCCCCCACCCGTACTGGTTGCCGAATTTCATGGACGTCTTCACCTGGTCCCTTCCTTTCGTCGGTGAGAAGATCACGGATATGTTGATTGCAATCCTCAACACCTGCTCCAAGGAGGAGCTTGAAGAAGAGACCCCTACATCTGTATCACCTACAGCCCCCTCGTCACCTCCAGCGGCGCAGATGGATGTGGAAAGCAGCGAATTTAAGCGTCGTGCCATCAAGAACAAGATCCTGGCCATCGGCCGTCTCTCGCGTGTGTTCCAGGTGCTCCGTGAAGAATCCGAACGAGTCACTGAGCTCAAGACCGCGGTTGGTGGTCGTCTTCCGGCGGGTACTTTGATGTTGGGTGCGGAGGGCATCAAGCAAGCCATCACGAACTTTGAAGATGCGCGCAAGGTCGATCTGCAGAACGAACGCCTGCCTCCTTCTCAGGAGGAAGTCATCCGACGCAGTGAAGAGGACCGACGCATTGCTCTCGAGCGGGCGCAGCATGAAGCCGACAATGATGCCGGCTTGGCCACAGTGGCTCGCAGAATCAGCATGTAAGTTTTGCTCCCTTCCGAAGGTTGAACGGCAGTTTCTAATTTATCTAGGTCGGCTGGCTCGGGCAAGACTCGTCGACAACGAGACGCTGCTCCCGTTTCCCGGGAGGCATGAGCGTCAGACCAGATTCCAATCGAGATACTGCCGGTTCAACGAAAGTGGCACACATGGACAGATATCCTTTCCTTCCTTGCAATTTTAGGCGTGCAACTGCTTCACCCTTGTATTGAACGAAACTCACAGCTTCGAACCCAACGGGCGAGTGATCTTGCCCAGCGACGACCACCTTGGATTAGATGGCTGGTCGCACTGGTGGCAAGCACTGTATCAAACACTGGAGTTGGCGGACGGGGGATAAATCATGTAATTTCTGCACACAAGCGGTTCTAGGCGTCCGTGACGTCTGAACTATGAGTTGATGAATTGATACACCGTGAATTCTACTCTCATCTTCCAGTTCCGCCTCGCTGCTTTATATTATTGTAGTATGGCCAGTGTAGGAGATTGTCCGTAAATCTCTAGATAGTGAAATAGGAAAATAGACACCGCCAAAATCATGCTTGGTACCTTACATGTGGTGGATGTTATCCGGCTGGTTTCCGGCCCGCCAAGACCAACCACCAACTTCAATCCGCCGATACCTTGCTTGCTCCGGCGGCCTCGCTTTCCTCCCTTTGTCTTCCACTTCATCCTCTTTGCCAACCTTCAATTCACATCAATGCCTCCCAAACTACGCGGCTCGCTCACAGCGAGCCTTGCGCACGCGGGCCGAGACTCCGCCACGGTCTTTTACTGTCCCTCCTGCTCTACCTGGCGCCGAAACACCCAAACCGCCCTCACTCTTGCGCGTCGTGCCAACAGCACCACCGGCGTTGCTCCCTCCAGCACATCACCACAATCACAGTCCCTAGATTTCCGACCCCACACTCATCCGATACCCCCCGAACCTGCTCCGCGACCCCTCAATAACACCGTTCCTGTCGTTCATGCCGGTGGCCGCAACATCCCCCCGCGGCTGAAAGGCCTCCACACGACGCTCGACCAGCTCAAAGATGTTGCGCCCGAGCAGGTCAATCTCAGTCGGTTGCAGCTGGCAATGAGGGGTCTGGAGTCGGAGACCCCTGTGATTCGTGTTGCTGGTATGTTCATCCAGTGCCATCTCCCTCTATCCTGCTGCTAATTGATTAACAATGCCGATTGCTTGCTAACATCGCTTAGTACTGGGCTTGAATGATGCCAGTGCGGCGCGCAGACTGGTGAAATTGCTACTGGCTGACCCCTTGAACGGAAAGGAAAGCTGGGAGGACTTGTTGGAGGAAATGGGCGCGGGGGCTGGAGGCTTGGAGAGAGGACTCTTGATCCGGTGGGTCTCTGTCTAAAGAATCTACCATGAACAGGAAAGGAATACATGGGCTAACTATCCCAATCCGCGGTGAAACAGTTACGGTCCAGTTTCGCAGAGCATACCCAATGACCTCCTCCCGACCATCTCGGTTCCCTCGCCGATCCTGAAGCAAGGCAACCTGGAGATCCTGATCACCAGCCTGGGCGCGGATACCCGAGCGAATGCCAAGTTCACAGCCGATACTTTCCTGGTGCCGACGGTGACGATTCAGACCTCGCATTCGGGACGGCATAATATGGTGCGGTACCCGGTGCACCGGAGCATCGTGTGCGGCAGTGGCGTCGACGGATTTCTGGCTTACAGCGGGCTAATGGCACGGTCGGATCTCAAGAACGAGGCGGGGTCGGTCTACGGCGCGATCGAGCTGCCGGTGACCAATTCGGAGAAGTACAACAATGGACGGGTCGCGTTTGTCGACATCGATAAGGCGGACGAGGCGTTGGCCAAGTTCCGGGAGTCGGTGCAGAACGCCTCGCTCTACGAACGCGGGTGGAACAGCAGTGGTGTCCAGCCGGTGGTGGATTGGCTGACTGCGCTGCGGGCGGAGGCGGGCAGTACGCTGGATCCCTCGCTGCGCACCCTGATCACGTCTCTGCTGGATGCGGCAGAGGCGGGGGTCGTCGCGGAGGAGACACAGAGGATCCAGGAGCAAGAGATAGGCTTGGTGCCGGTGGAGGTCAGGGATGGGCTGGATCGATCCGTGTCGGAGTGGGCGGAAAAGGCGCACACGGAGCTCCGCGGCGCACTGGAAGAAGGGTTTGCCAGCAAGCCGTGGAAGGGCCTTGCGTGGTGGAAGCTCTTCTGGCGCGTGGATGACGTGGGCATGATTACCGGGGAGATCCTGGATCGCAAGTTTCTGCGTCAGGCTGAGAGGGAGGTCATCTGGACGGCTGGCCGGTTCCAGCAGGCCGGACTGGTGGAGACCACTCCGGAATCCAGCCCGACCGAAGAACCATCCTGGCCAACGCAGATACCCATACGACGGACCAAGCTGGTCGAGACGACGGCGCCGGCACTGCAGGCGTTGGCGCAGCGACTCGTGCTGTTCAGCATGTCGACAACCACTCTATCCTCGGCGCTGTCGATCTTGACCTATCTCTCCTGGCCTGCGGCGTCTGTGTACGAGACCTGCACGATGGCAGCGGTGGGTTTGATCTACTCGCTGCGTCGCCAGCAGCGCAAGTGGGAAAGCGCGCGGATCTGGTTCGAGAACGAGGCCCGCGAGGACGGCCGCACGGCTCTGCTCGAGACGGAGGACCAACTCCGTGGCATTGTGCAGCACGGCGGACGCCCCGTGGAGGAGGCAGCCCCGGTGTCTCCCCTTGAGACGCGACAGGCCATCGATCGAGCGCGCAAAGCTCTCGAGGAGGTCGACTAGATACACCCTAGACTTTTCACCCTGTATGTACTGTACCACTATGAATCCAAAATGAATATCGTACAACATCCCATTTTCTTTGTCGGGATCAGGAGATCTCCACACTGCCCTCCGGCACGCCCTTCCAACTCCGCAACCTCCTCGCCAAGAACTGCATGACGGGCAACATCTCGTCCCGATTCCGGGGCATCCCATCCCCGCGGCGGGCATACCGATGGACCTCGACAAACTCAAACCGATCCTTCGTCCTGCGCACCGCACTATCCGTCACGGCCACCGAATCCCGGCCCGCGACCACCAACACCGGCGTCCGATTTTTCTGGGTGGTTGTATTCTTGACCGCGGACAACGGAAACGGGGCTCCGATCGACACCACCCCGGCCAACCACCGATCATTTCCGGTCGGCTGCGTAGGAGACCCCAATACACTGTCTTCCCCAGAATCAGCAGCAGCAGCACTGGCAACCTCCAATCCCACCATCCCGCCCTGCCCCAAACCAAACACCAAGACATCCCGCCACTGATACCCGCACTTCCGGACGAGTACGCCCGCAATCACCTCGTGGACGAGCAGGCGCACCGCCCGCGTGAACCCGGCGTCCATGTCCAGCTCCCCCGCCGGCGTGAAGGTCACGTCGTCGCCCCAGTGGTAGCCGCCCAGGTCGAAGGGGAGGGGCTGCGGGGCTTGCAGGGTCAGGATGGTGGTTTCGGGGAGGTGGAGGGCGCGCGCGAAGGCGGTGAAGTTGGCTGCGGTGTCGCCGAGGCCGTGCAGGAGGAGGAGGATATTGGGGGATTTTTCTGATGTGCTGGTGGGGTGGGTGATTGTGACGGTCAGGTGGGAGGGGAAATCGGTTTGTTCGGGGGCGCGTGGGCTTGGGTTTGGGGTTGGGGTGGTCATTGTGGTTTGTGATGCTTTTTTTTTCCTCTGTTTGGATGAGGCGGTGGTGCTTGTTTATTCTGAAGACTGTTTGTTTGTTGGTGGTGGTGTGGTTTGTGGTTTGTGGTAGGGTGGTTGTGTTTGATGGAGGGGAGGGGTGGGGAGGGGAGCTCATGCCCGCCGCGCCGGCGCCGGCAGGTAAGTTAGTTGCCGCTTTCGGGTTAGTCGGTTGGCTGCATATGCTGCTGCTGCTGCTGCTGCTGCGCTACTGTTTACTATCGTCATGCAGAAGGTTGCTCGTATTTTGACACAAGGGGTTTATTCAATATGCTCATGCTCACGCTCATGCTCATGCTCATACTTGCGAGTCGAATTGACCGCGGCTTGTCATTGCAGGTCTCCCATGACCTGACCGTCAATCGGACAATGACATGATGGAACGGAGAATGATCGTTGATTTTCTATGCTCGATACGGTTTCTGTCTGGCATGGCATGACGTCCCATCCCATTCACACTGAAACGAGGCCAAGAGCAACCATCTGGACAACTGTGCTCCGACTGCAACAACCACAGACATGATGCACATTCTCCAGCTGAAGCAGTACGTAATGTCTTTCCTCTGCCCATCCACCGGCCCCAAGCCACATTCCGACACTGCCACACATCGCCTTCCCAAGGCCACTGATTCAGAGGTCATCACAGCCGACTGACACGAACACCAAAAGGACGCTACAGGACTTCCGGTCTCAGGCTATCGAACATTGCGGAGCCTTCGGTAGAATCAATCGGGCAACTAGCTGTGGGGATAACGATACTTTTGGGCCTCGCATAGCCAACCATTAACCCCGAGCATGCTCCACTCCGTGCAGCATTGCGCGTGCCCCAAAACCATGACATTTCCAGATTTACCCGCCAGGCAAGGCCAGACACTCCAGAGTCCAGCCTAATCTGCATAGGAGTAGATCTGGGGAAGATTAGATCTGATATCCAGGTCAGCCCTCGAAGGTCCGTTGTGCTTCTTTGACTTGGGCCACTCCGAGTTGCACAACGTAGGGCAGAGGATAAGCCTTGACAAGAGCTTCTTGGCGCACAGTGTTCCTTCGGTTCAGCCGGCTTCGTCCTCAACCTTCGCCAAGCCCGGGCGAGTGGTGTGGCCGAGGCGCTAAATCCACAGCCAGATGGAACGCACCCAGAGTTTAAGGCTGAGGCAATCCCCATCTGCATCTTGGCCCCCCCCCCCAAGCGGTGTCGCTCGTCCTACCCATGGGAATCATGGGATTTATGGGACACGTACGTATTTTCGAGGCGATGATCCCTGGATAATACCTAGAATGTAGGCACACAGGAAGGGTCTGGAAAAGTGAAATCCTGAGAATCAGTTAGCTAGTCCCGCATTGGCATGGCCATCTCTCTCTATTTTCAGAGGCGCAGGCGGAACCAAAGGACGCGGAGGGGTCATTATTCTGTCCGCCCCTCTTCTCTGGCGACTGTCGATTGTCTAGGCTACGCCATTGTTATTCCCTCGGCCTCCTATCATTGGTACCCATGTTTCAGCTCACAAACAAGCCCACTGTGTCCTCAGCTGTACGACAAGTACCCCTGGCGGATTTCCGAGCACAGCGTTTCGCATCCCCGTAGCCCGGAAGGCTCACTCCATGCTATCCGACCCCTCCGGGCTGACTGTATGCTGTTCGATGCAGCCAATGGCATGATTCTCTCGGTCAGCCTTCAAAGAAGCGCTTACACGCACAGGCGGCACCCATCGACTACGCTTACGCTGCCCCTCCGAGTCGCTGAGGTGAAAGGACGACCAACGTGGCGCGGGGACCAGCGACTGGGAGTGATCTGCCTTCCATCCACCCCACCTTGGAGGGGCGATACCTGAGCATCGCCATTCAGCCAATGACCCCTCCCCCCACAAGACATTGAGAGTTTTGCAGGCTCGCAGCAGCTATTCTAGTCTTCACGACAGCAGTGGGTCAGGGGGCGCGGTAGAGGGGTACCTAGCCGACGAGAGCTGAATTAGCTGAGGTGGGTTGGCTGAGACACAGCTGGCTGTATATAAGGCGTCCATTGTCCTGCTTCTTGCCTGTCTTTTCTCTCTCTTCACACACACCATCTTTCCTCCTTTTCAAACAACCTCTTCACACATTACACATCATTCACCATGGCTTGGGGCTGGGGTAAGTCACTACTATGCGGCTGCTGACCCTCATCTGGATGCATCGCGGGATTATCCCTGTCCTGTTACTTGCCCAGTTTGACTTCCATAACCTGCATCGATTAGACATGTTTGTAACACGACTAACCACGTTTGCCTTGCAGATGATTCCAACGAGGCTCACCGTCAGGTCTACAACGGCGAGCAGCACCACGAGGCCAAGTTCTCCCACGAGCTTCTGGCCGGTGCCGCTTCCTTCGAGGGCATGAAGCTCTTCGAGGACCACCAGCGCAAGGAGGGTATGCATTGTCCCTCGTCTGACTACATCCCTCTTCCTTCTGCCACGCTAACCGCCATGACATCCAACAGGCAAGCCCGTTAGCCACGCTTTCGCCAAGGAGCTTCTTGCTGGCATTGTCGGTTCTCAGATCGACAGACTTGCCGAGACCAAGGGTATGGACGAGGTCGACAAGATCCGTGCCAAGAAGCACGCCCAGGAGAACGCCCACAAGATGTACGAGGAGCACTACGAGCGCGGTCACGGCGCCCCCGAATACGACCCTCGCCTTCCTCCTCACCCCCACTTCCGTGACGAGGGCCGCTTCCCTGATCAGGGCCGGTGGTAAGGGCCGTGGCTGGTACTAAGCTCTAGTGCGACAAGGGATAGACTGGATCTGAACCTGTCGACCGGGGGTGTATTGATATGATACCGATGATTTGTTGTTCCCAATGAAAATTATTCCTCACCATTGGTTGTTTTTTTTTTTTTTTTTTGAAAAAAAATTCTAAATCGTGGTCCTCTCCATGCGACGTGGCCTGTAGATTCGAGCCCTCTCGTGCATATATGATCTGTACGGTATGGTGGAGAGTCAGATGAGCTATCATCAAATTATGATAGTCGGTCTGGAAGAGTAGAAAACCAAAACAAAACAGTCGTAATGATGAATCGCAATCCGATGCAAGAGTCATGAAGGTCAAACGCTGGGCAGGCTGAAACGACCACCGCAAACTGCATGGCCAGTATGTAGGATTCCACCCAATCGGGCAAGTAACGCGGATTATCACGGAGTGCTTGCGACTGACGGCAAGCAAGGATCGTCGGTCGTCGGGGCGAGTGTGTGCGACTATTTTCGGTTCCTGTATGAAGATAGATAGTGTCCTGCGGAAGAGAGGGGCAGTTTTTTGGGAGTGCTTTTCCGGGTTCGCAATTCCACTTTGGGAACCCTTTTTTCGCATGTTGACAGATTGGTTCAATGAATCTCCCACGGCCCTGACAAGGGAATCCCAATCATAAGGATCGAAATGCGAAGCTGTCAAGGACATCCCATGGAACTGTAAGTGGAGAGGGGGAGAGGGAGAGAGGGAGAGAGGGAGTATACGAGCAGCAACCACCGTGTATGCGCGGCAAGCCTCTTACTTTATGGGGATACTTTGTCCGGTATGACAGAGCAGCCAATGACTGATGATGGCCAGTCACCGCCCTGCCAAGTGCTCCTGCAAATGAGCTCATCGGCTGCAGCACGTGCATAAACCCGGGCCTATCAGGCTACGATAGACGGACAATTCGGGCAAGAAGAAGGTTCACTCGCTCCTCTCCAATTTTGAATCCATGAAATCAGGTATCTTGCTGGCTTCGTTCTCGCTCGTTCAAAAGTCACTCGGCTCTTTGTCTCGCTATGACGGGCTGGACTGAACCTCTGGTGGCTTGCCTGTGGTTTGCGCTCTTGACCTCTTGCGCATTTTGGCATTTTTAGTTCTTTTTTCACACATTTAAACTTAACTTGTATTTTCCTTCTTCCATTCTTATCTGCTTCTACCTTCGCCCTCCGTTCCACCGTGACATTCTATTTCTATCTACTATTTTGTTCCGGACCTTGTCTCTTTTACTCCCCTCCCCTCCTCCTCCTCCTCCTCCTCCTTCTCGTCCTATATTGGAGAATCGTGTGCTTGTTCTACCTTCTTGGCCCCAAGAATGAACTGATCGTTGTCGTGAGCTACTTTCCAATCGCCCTGAGCAATGGGATTACGAAGCCTACGAACTATTGGAGCTCTTATCGATTGATCCTCGGATACCAGATTCCCTGTCAACTTGCTCCACCATTCTTCTGCTTCATCTTGTTGCCACTGTGATGGCACTCGCTGCGTCATAAATCATCCTGGGTATCTGCTGTAATTTTTTTGTCAACCGTATTATGCTCGCTCATGCCTCTGCCTTCCCAGCATGAAATTCGCCAAGTGTGTCTCACTCACCCAAACCCACCATTGCTCCGGAATGCTTGTTTCCTGTGAGGCGTTGCTGACCCAGTCATTGGCGACAGGGAGCTGGAGCAGGAATTAGTTCCAGAGTGGCGAGCTAAATATCTCGACTACAAGGTTGGTGCTGCCCCAGTTGATTGCTCCCATACGCTGGGGGTGTGGTTCCGATTCTCATCATTGTGTGACTTTGGGGGACGACAGGCCGGCAAGAAGAAAGTCAAAGCCATCTCGCGCGCCCTGCAGAAAGCCAATCGCAGCCCTAGCCATCCGTCCATTCGCAATTTCTCCTACCCCCAACATGACCAGTCCGATCGCCTGCTGAGTTCGGACCCCCGCTCGTCGTTCCGAAGCGAAAGCCGACACGATTTACCCCAGGACACCCTCCAGATTCCCTCGACGCCGGCGCGAAGTAATGGCTTGACACCGCGCTCAACGTCGGCGCGCAGTGAACGCCAGCCCCTCCGGGCCCCTGGATCGCGCTTCTCAGGCGTGGTCGGCACGTATGGAAGTATTGTCGCCACACCGCCATCACAGCAGGCTGCTTCCTCGGATGTAGCCTCTCTGCGGCTGCCAGATCCGGCTATTGATCCCAAGGAGGTCGAGTTCTCCTCGCCAGAAAGAGAGGATGATCCAGACGACCACCGCCCCGAGAGCCCATCGCCGATCTTATCACGATATGATAGCTTGCGACCAGCCACGCCTGCCAGATCGCGCCGGAGCCCCTCGACGCCACAACCCGCTGCTGGGGGTATCAAGGATTACAAGAGGAACACGGGTGCAGGCCCGTCGAACCGTAGAGGCTCCCTACTGCAGCGGGTGCTGTCTTACCAGGACTGGAATGCTCCCGAGAAGCGCGACACCACCGATACCTCGACATCGGAAATTGCCAAGCGGCAGGATGAGTTCTTCGCTTTTCTCGATGGCGAGCTAGCCAAGATAGATTCGTTCTATCAGATGAAAGAACAAGAAGCGGCGGAGCGTTTGAAGGTGCTCCGAAGCCAGCTACATATCATGCGGGACCAGCGCACCCAAGAAGTGCTTGGGAAAACGAAAAACGGTGGGCTCAAGGACAATGCGCAGGCCAACGGCTTCGGCGGACTGGCCAAGATCAAGGATGCTTTCCCCGGGCGTCATTTTGGGAAAAATTCCAAGGCCCTGGCAGAGTTGGCAACGCCGGTTGGACAAGCGCAAGACCTACCGAACACCATCACGCGGCGAGATTTCGCACGGCGGCCGGAAGAGTCCAATAACGCCGAGGTTCCTTATCGCTCCGCCAAAAGAAAGCTTAAGCATGCGCTTCAAGAATTCTATCGTGGCGTGGAGTTGTTGAAGGCATATGCCTATCTGAACCGGACCGCGTTCCGGAAAATCAACAAGAAATATGACAAGGTTGTCAATGCACATCCCCCGATGCGCTATCTCTCTGAGAAGGTCAATAAGGCGTGGTTCGTCCAGAGTGAGGTCACGGAGCATTTATTGTCGGCAGCAGAGGACCTCTACGCCCGCTATTTCGAGCGCGGAAATCGCAAGATTGCCGCCTCGAAGTTGCGCCATACAGTCAACAAGGCTGGAGACTACTCGCCGAACACATTCCGCTCTGGTCTCCTGTTGATGGCTGGCATCCTGTTTGCAGCCCAGGCATTGGTTTATGCTAGCCGTAATCTGAATCATGACGATTCCGACGTGAAGCTTAATACAAGCTACTTGCTCCAGGTTAGTCTCGCATACCCGCTCACGGGCGCTTGAGCCTCTAACTTCAATAGATATACGGTGGTTATTTCCTCATCGTTCTGCATTTTCTCCTATTCTGCTTGGACTGCATGATCTGGACGAAGGCCAAGATAAACTACGTCTTCGTTTTCGAGTTCGACACCAGACACGCATTAGACTGGAGGCAGTTAACTGAGGTTAGAGCTTCTATCTCGTCATGTGGATTGCTTGACATTGACGCGACTGCAGTTACCGAGTTTCTTCTTGTTCATACTAGGTCTCTTCATGTGGCTTAATTTCATGATGATCAATGACGCATATATCTATTGGCCTGTCATCTTGATAGGTGTGACGGTGATAGTTCTTTTCTTACCTGTGCGCACTTTATACCACCACAGTCGAAAGTGGTGGGCATATTCCAATGTGAGTAGTGCTCTGGTTGACATACCGGAGTTGAAAGCTAATCATGCATGGTAGTGGCGACTTCTGTTGGCTGGTCTATACCCTGTCGAGTTTCGTGACTTCTTTCTCGGTGATATGTACTGTTCTCAGACGTACGCCATGGGCGTGAGTCTCATTTTAGTGCTGCATGGACTATGGCAGTGGTTGCTAATCAATCTTAGAATATTGAATTGTTCTTCTGCCTCTATGCGAAACATTGGAGTGACCCTCAGCAGTGTAACTCCTCTCACTCCCGGCTGTTGGGGTTCTTCACGTGCCTTCCAGGAATTTGGAGAGCTCTCCAGTGCTTACGTCGATATGCCGACACGAGGAACGCCTTCCCTCACTTACTCAACTTCGGAAAATACATGTTCACTGTCCTCTACTATTGTACCCTGAGTCTCTACCGTATCGACAAGGTCTCGAGCTTTGAAGCTCCGTTCATCACGTTTGCGTTGCTGAATGCTGTCTACTGCTCCGTCTGGGATCTCGCCATGGATTGGAGTCTCGGAAACCCTCACGCGAAGAACCCAATGCTTCGTGAGGTGCTCGCTTTCCGGAAGCCGTGGGTGTACTATGTTGGGATGGTCATCGATGTTGTTGTCCGCTTCAACTGGATCTTCTATGCAATTTTCCGCAAGGACATACAGCATTCGGCTGTCCTCAGCTTCGCTGTTGCACTTTCAGAGGTGGGCCGCCGGGGGGTGTGGACGATCTTCCGTGTGGAGAACGAGCACTGCACCAACGTTCTTCTCTTCCGAGCATCCAGAGATGTTCCGCTACCATACGAAGTTCCCAAACCACAGGCTCCGTCAGCTCAGCCAGAGGAGGCTATGCAGCTTCAAGACCACCAACCTCTGGCGCCCATCCCTACCATTGGCGACACCGAGCAAGGAACCCCACCCACTCCAGGCTTGTCTGTCCGGAGCCCACGTGGTCTTGCTCGGGTTGGTACCTTGTTGGCAGCGGCCCATGCACAAGACTTCCAGCGTAAGAGGCGTCCTGGTGAGTTGCATAGCACTTCGATCACCCGGGAGGGCCTGGATACGCCGGATGATAGTACAGATGAGGAAGAAGGCTCGCGACCGTCGTCCGAGGGTGGCAATGTGATAGTGGAGGAGTATCGTGACGACGACGACCGGGAGTAACAGCCTCTGAGCTGGTTGGGGCCGCGCATCCAAATCCTAGCGAAAGGATATCTGCATTCATGGCATATATTAGAGGATAGAATTTATACATAATATCGCATATAATAGATGAGCATATTTTATGATGCTGCGAATTCGCCGCATAAGAAGCCTTGTGTCCCTGTGCCTGAGACTGCATGTAGGTTGTAGTTGAAGAGTAGATGTTCTGCCTAAGGCTCAGAAAAGCAATAGGAGAGAATCAGGTGACGAAACGACGTCACGCGGCTCCCGAGCAGAAAGGCGGTATATCCGCCCGCGTTCTCGACCCTTCTCTCTCCACTTCACTTCGCCCCCCCCGTTCTTCCTTCCTGTCAGCCGTGAGTTTTAAGAGCATTAACCATCTCGTTCTCTCTGGAAAGGTCTTCTAATTATTCCATAGAAGCTACTCTGAGAGCGAAATGGCTGCCAACACTAGATATGAGCCCGCACCGCAGCGCGACTCTTTCGAAGAGCGTGCTTACACTCAGCCCCCGCCTTCTTATCAGGCAACTGCCGATTACACACAGGCGCCTCGCAGCGAAGACGACAACGTTCCCGATGACTTCAAGGTAAAGCTTCCGTCCAACTCTTATTTACATCTAGACTGACAGTATGTGCTTCAGTTCGGCGGCACTGTGGCGGAGGGCACCCTGCCCATTCGTATGCAGTTCATCCGCAAGGTCTATGCGATCCTGTGAGTGTCTGTCTTGATATACCTCGAACCGGAGTGTAGCCATCTGTATACGTATCCAGACCTAACACCTTTCTCTCAAATCCAGGACGGCCCAACTCCTCCTCACGACGGTGATGAGCTCGATCTCCTTCTTCAGCCCCAGCTACCGGACCTGGATCCAGTCCAACTTCTGGGTGATGATCCTCTCGGTGTTCGGCGCGCTGGGCTTCATGCTGGTGACCTACTGGAAGCGCAAGTCGTACCCAGCCAATTTACTGTTCTTGTCTGGTTTCACGATCATGGAGGCCTACTCTATCAGCGTGGTGACGTCGCTGTACGAGAGCCGGATTGTGCTGCAGGCGCTGGTGATCACGCTGGGCCTGTTCGTCGCCCTGACGCTGTTCGCGTGCCAGACCAAGTACGACTTCACGCACTGGATGCCCTACCTCTTTGGCGCGCTGTGGTTTTTGATCCTCTTCGGCTTCATGGCCATGTTCTTCCCCGGCAACAGCACCGTCGAGCTCGTCTACGGCGGCGTCGCCGCCCTCGTCTTCGCCGGCTACATCCTCGTCGACACCCAGCTCGTCATGCGCCACTACCACGTCGAGGAGGAGATCGCCGCCTCCATCTCCCTCTACCTCGACATCCTGAACCTGTTTCTCGCCATCCTGCGCATCTTGAACAGCCAGAGCAATAACTAGGCTCCTGGGTTCGGCGCCAGGCAGGGTTTCTTGGCTTAGGCTCAGGCTTGACTGCGGCTAGCTACTATCCCTACCTTACTCCCTCCCACTCCCATGAACCACCCCCAAACAACACCAACGAAAAGAAACCATAAACCCACTACACCAAATCCAAACAAGACTGCCCAAATAACATAACGAAATGGAGTTTCTTGCTCTTGTTGCTTTGCTTTGCTTCCCTCGCCCTTAATCAGGCCTTGCTCCGTTGTATTCCTCTAAACCTCCACTTTTTACCTAATCCATCGGCCCTAGGGCTTGTTTACTCGATATAGTCTTTTTCCGTGTGCTTGATCCCAAGATCATCTCTGAATTAGCCGTCTTGCTATCGCTTCTTTTCATACAACCAGCATATTTGCTCTTGAAGTCCCGTGTACCCATCCCCCTTCTTCCATCCACGTTTGTAAATCAGATATAGTCTAAGAATGCCAGATGCTTAGCTTGTGCCAGATCATTCATTTCATCTAAAATATTGATGACATACCACCAACCTTGGAAAACAACGTAGTTTCTTTCAGGTATACGTTCATCGGTAGGTAGATCCTCGTTTTCGCGCCCCCTTCCCCCCCCCCCGGGCTCCTTTTCTCCCTTCATTATTCGACCCAAGAAGTGGATGGGCTGGTTTGGCTCTTTTACTTTCCTATTGTATGTGCTGCCAGCGCGTCCCAACCTGCCTGTTTCCTCACGTGCGTTGGTGGGGGGTTGTCACGTGCTACCAGAGGACGGCCGAAAATGGCAGGCCCACTTGGGTGTGATCCAAATTGTTGGATGGGATATATAGAATCTAGTCTATGTACTTCTAGGGGGAGGGGTCTTTCGATAAACTTAATATTCATAATGCTAGAATTATCGAAAAGAAAAGAAAAATAAGCTATTTGCTAACTCTGGATTGTTTTGTATGTGTATTTCTGATTCTCTGAGTTAAAATCCCAATCCGACTCTTATCATGCTGCCGCATCCCCCAAATGTGACGCACGACGCACAGCGAACACGAAACAACGCATTACCCAACAGCAGTGGTATGGTGGTATTTGCAAGCAGCACGGATGAATAAGAAAAGAAAATCTTGGCTCTGTTAAATTCCGATGGAGATCAAAAAAAAAGAGTAAATGTCTAACAAACGCATAAACAAGAGACAAGGATTCCCCTGATGACGCCGGCGCCGTGGTATAGTGATGTAGTTCCAATCGACTGTAATCCTGAATCAAGACCCCAGCTCTAATGAACCTGCACGCAATGCGGGAGGAAAATGGGGAATAAGGGGGCGATAATGGAGCAAGGAAATTAAATGAAATTGAGATCGAGAATGAGATAGAATAGGAAAAGGGAAGCATTTAAGGGAAAGAGAGAAATGATTGACAAAGGTTGATAGAGAATGGAAAGGGGATCCAAAGTCAAGCCTAGCTTGACTCTGCGTAGGCCTGCCTTTGGTGCTAATGAGAGGCGAGAAAGACTGAATTCGTGATAAGACACACGACCATAACCAAGACACCGTAGATCACAAGACCCAGACTCAGCTTGCGCAATAGTGCTCGGCGCCATTGACGAGTGCCGCGGCGAAGGATGCCACTCTCCGTCAGCGGACGGGTTTGCGAGGTCTCGATGTCCTCATCGTCATCGTTGCCATCAGACATGATCGCATCGCCCACTTCGTCGTCTTCCTTCATCAATCGTTGATGGTGCGGCGAGTCAGGAGAAGAGATCTTGTAGTAGAAAAGACCGGGAAGGATGAAGCTGATGCTGGTGCTGCCGGTGCTGCCAACATAAGCGAGCACGGCTTCGAGCGACGACACGGTCATGGCAACGATGTAGCTCAACACGAGAATGGTGGTGGTGATGATGGAGAATCGGAGGTCACTCATTGGCTCGGGGGCACGGTTGCCTCTCGACCCCAAAAGTGGATGCCGGTGGGGCGAGCTGTCACTGGAGCCCGCGGGCTTGGGTCTCCAGCGCAGTACTGCATCGACGGACGCCCGACACGGGTGGCATTGAAGCGGATAGGAGAACATGACAAGCATGACAATGGCGGCACGGCCAATCGTAGCATACAGGCCTGGCGGGTACATGCCAACGATGTTTCCAGCAACGCTGTTTCCGAACGAAAGATATCCGGTGATAGCCACAAGAATATAAGTTGCAGCGGCGCTACCGATGCTAGAGAAGACGACTCCGGTGGTTCGGAAGTGGCTGTTGTTGCTTATCTCGTTTAAGATCGAGAACATCTGTTGTACTGATCAGCAAATGCTCTAATAAAGCATCCCGCTTGGAAGGCATCATACATTTTGATGGCAAGTGAACGCAAAGACAATGACGGGAAGGCTGCTGAGCGTGGGAACAGGGCCTGCCCAGTGTATCACGCGAATAGGACCCCGATCAGTGGTTGTGTCTCCGATCACGAAGTGGTAGACAACCAAGACAACCAAGTATGCCATAGAGACGAGTGCTGCAATACTCGTATATTTGAGCGAGTCCAAGCGTCGGAGGTAGGAGAGGGGAATGACAATCAACCTGCCAAAGTAGAACACATTAGTATGGTCATGATTGTTCCTGTGGGGAGACGTACATGAAGGCTGTTACCCAAAAATGACGGTCCACCAGAAAGTCGTAATCCGGAGAACCTCCTACGAAACCCTGAACCACCCCCGGCATCAGATCTCCGATAATGATAAGATAGCTGACCCCGACGCCAAAACACTTGATCGCGATCGCGGCATCGAAGATAACGGCCGCATTGGGGTATGTGAGCTGCGACAAGGCGAAGAACGACGCGGTTCCGCGTTCCAGGTATCGTGCACATTGAGACTGAAGATATAGACCGAATCCTGCTGCGATTCCCGACCATAAAATGACAAAGACACCGAGTACGATTCCCATGTGCGAGATCGCAAGTGGCATGGCTAGGACACCGGCGCCAATGACTACCGGAGTTTTATCCCGTCAGAAAAAGCCAATATAGAAAATCCATTGGTTGCGAATTGTTCCAACTTACTAGTGTTGACCAGGTTAATCACGCAACTAATCCAACTGGCGTCGCCATGATGTCCGGCGCTCCGTTTCCCTCTCCCGCCACGCCTGCAACAATAAACCGTCAGCGATAAGAAGCGCCTAAAGAAAGCAGGTGCGGAGGAAAAAGAGGAGTAATTACCTTCGAGACGTACTTCTGGGTGAGACCACCCCAATAGAAGCCTCGTCGTCCATCATATTGGCGGCACAAGTTGAGGTTAAGTGAGAAAGTAATTGATTGATAAGAGGTGGCCACACGACAGGAGAATTCCGGGGTGGGTCAACCCGGCATACTATGAGGTCGCAGGCCACTGGAATTTGCGACAGCAGGCAGGAGAGAGGGAGGAAGAGGGAAAGAGGAGGAGAGAAGGGGGTTGAAAGGTGGTTTTCTTGGAATAAGACACGAGTTAGAGAGAAAGGGAGAGGGGAGAGGAGAGAGGAGAGTAACGAGTCAAGAGGAGCGGAGATAAGTTGGAGGGAGAGAGATTGGGGATTGTGGTCAGTCAGTTCGTATCTTTCCCAATTTAGATTCCTTAGTCAGACACCTTCCCTTGCCGCTCTTCTCCGCCTTTTTCCCCTTCCCCTCTTTTTATCTCGAATGGGTTAAAAAATGCGATGGACATACACAGTACACAGTACAATAGATCCACTTGATGTGCTTTTTTTTATCATTACATAGTATTCGTTGGCAGCACAATCCCACCATGACTCCTTCCCTATCCGTCCAGAGAATGAAACTACAACTTCGGCTTCCCCCAACCCTGCTGCGACAGCAGATCATAGACCTCGTCCTCCAGTTTATTGGCGTCCGACACCGTATTTCCGGGCCGCTGGCCGGGGCCGGGATCATTAAAGGCACTAACGGAACGCACGGTCTTGGAGACCTCCAGGATCGTTCCCCCACTAACCATAAACTGAGGACCCTGACCTGTCTGATCTCCAATGATCTCGCCAACATGATCTTGCTGGATCAACGCCAGCATGACCTGAGCCACTTCCTCGGGCGTCACCCATTCATCGGCTTTGGCGTCAACTATCTTGATCTTTTCGGGGTGGTCCGTCCAGAGCGGCGTCTTGATCACCCCGGGAGCCACCGCCGTGACGCGGATCCCGCATTTCTGGTCGAGCTTGGCCAGGGACCGGACCAGACCGTTGATCGCGTACTTGGTGGCTACGTAGATCGGGGTCGCTAAAGCAGGATTCTGCCCGGCAATGCTGGAGATGTGCACGATGTGTTTGCGGCGTTGGCTGCTGCTGCCCTTGCGGAGGAAGTGCGCGATGGCTAGTTGCGTCGTGCGGATGGGATGGGTCAAGTTGATATCTAGCAAGGCGTACCGGCCCCCATGTCGTGGATCTCGGCTCTCTGGCGTTCCCGGGGGTCGCCAAAAGTTGGTCCAATGCTGCATGCGAGACAAGCCATAAGCTAAACATCCCTTGCTTCTTCGGGGGATTTTTGGGGGGGGGATGCACATACAGGCTCGTAGATCCCTGCGCCAGGGCAGACGATGTCTACTTCCCCGAACACCTTCTCTGCTACTTCAAACATCTGCTCGAGCTGCTTCCAGTCGGTCACGTCGGTCTTCTGGAAGACAGCACGGGGGCCTTTGGAGGAGGCCGCGTACTGATTCACCAGCGACTGTGCCTCGGGGCGCAACCCCAGGTCGGCAATGAGAACGTTGCACCCATTTTCAAGTAGCAGTTTGGCAAACGAGAGGTTAATGCCTATATTAGATAGATTAGTGACATGCCTACATCCGCGTAGCAGTCGCATTGAATCAGCGAAGGAGTGTTGACGCACCGGATCCTGCTCCAGTGACGATGGCAGAGCGTCCTTTTACAGAGAACGACATGGTGTACGGAAGGTGAGGATAGAAGCGCCGTAACACTCAAAAAGGAGTGGCGCTACTATCGCCGTGCCACATGGACTTATGCCTTCTTTATACCTCATTCGGGCAGTATCAATCCGAAGGTTCGGGGTGTTGTTACCCGCATTCGACATTGTGGACCGAGGGAAGGAGATTCGAGAAGCTGGCCTGGACCCGGACAAAGACCGATGAGGGGAAATCGACTGGGTCTGGTGGCCTTCAAGAGTAAGTATCGTGTATCGTATCGTGGTGCGTTGTGTTAAGGGCAGCGGCGTGGTCGGTATAGCCTTCGTGGGAATTGGTGATCTACCATGGTAGCGCAAGACCAGTGCCATGCGCAATGATAGCCGGGAAGGAAACAAAGGGAGATCGCATCTATCATATGAAGCCTAGGTTCCATAGCATGGAAAATAAGATGACTATGGTGATTGATGGGGAAACGGCAAAAAGAAATGGAGAAGCCCCCGGCGAGGCTCGAACTCGCAACTTCCAGATTAGAAGTCTGGCACGCTACCATTGCGTCACGGG